ATCCTAAGGCCACCGCTTCTCACTCAACCATTCCACCACACGGGTGTCCTCGGAAGTGCGTGGCACAAAAAATTGCCCCACGCTGAATTCAAAGTCCAGGATCATGATCCAGCATTAACCACTGAATCAGTATTGGGAAATGAAGCTTGCTCATTATGTTGCGAATCCCTCAAATGAACGGTTTTTAATCCCTCGTCTCCGAGAGTTCGTAGCTGTCCAAACCTTCACTTAGCCCGTCTCAAATCTCGAACAGTACCTTAGGCCTTGATTGACCAAACAAACACGCAGGACACCACACATCCTTGAGCCAGGAAACATTTTCAAATCCAGCTGGCAACTTCACCATCAAATAGATGGCACCAGACCCACCTTCCAGCCCACTTTGGGTTTTGATGTCTTGGAATGGTTTCTTCTTAGTTACATGACTTCCATGGACTTACACGGTGTTCTTTCAGGTAGAAAACTCACCGTTTTATGACTGAAGATGATGAATGTCAAAACTCCCAAATCAGAAAGCTGTGAGCTTTTGGCCGCGCCTGCCACGGCACCTTTCCCCAAGGTCTCCTCTACAGCGGCCACGACCAGGCGACGGTTCTCTTTCAGCCCTGTGACGTGATCTTTCCTCGGCCGAAAAGGATGCGCAAGGGCATGATCCGGGCTGTGGGAGATCTGCGGCAAATTCTTGGGAAGAAATGATTCAAATCAAATCTTGAAGAACTAAAATTAAACCTTGTGGAATCTTGTGGATGTAAACCAGACAAGATCAGGACCGGCCAAGAGAAATCAGTACAAAAGTCCGTTCTTTTAGACGTAAGTAAGACCAGAATCAGGTGTAGTGACGCGTTTCCTTTCGAACACCACTCAACATCCAAGTGGATCATATCTAGTTACAGTCTCTTCAGGGTGATGTTTCGAAATTCCAACCCCCAAAAAAAGGCACCACATTTCCATCCACAGCCTGGGACTTACCAACCCCGGCTGAGTTTCCCCACACCCACTGGCGTCCACTTTCCAACGCAGCCATGGCCACTTTCTGCGAAGCCACGGCTGGGCAAATGGCAATGGTATCCTGCACCTGGGCAGATTCGTCAGAACACGGAGTTAGGATAAATTCACAGGACAAGTTCAAAAAACGATGGAAACATATGGGGAAAATCATGGGGATAATGTAGTTTTAAAAAAACTCATTAGTTTGGACATAGGTCCGGAAACACCATCGGAAAAATCTTGTCCGTGTATTTTTTTGCTTCGCCATGACCGGTCTGTGGGCCTTCATCAGCTCAGGACCAAGGCTGGGGGGAAACGCCTCGGACACGGCTGACGTCTTCCCAATTTTCCCAGGCGTAGTTTTGGACGGTCAGGATTTGACTGGCCAATCACTGCGAAGTTCATTGCGAATCAAACACAAAAGCTCGAGGGCCCCAAATGAAAGTAGTCAAAGAATATGAAGAAATGGTAAACTCAGTCATACTCAGTCCATTTCCATGGGTCAGCTATGACTTGTCTTGATCTTTGACTCTTTCCAATCTTTGATTCCCGTCCCAACAGTCTGAGGTTCAGTCCAGGTAGCCTCAGCTCATCCCACAGAAAGTCGGCTCATTACTGAGTTGCCCCTAAACTCATGCTAATATTGGTATGGTTGGAAACATGCAGAAAAAAAACACCTGGGTGTTCAATGAAAACAGCCCACTGCCCCTTTCTGGCCCTCCAACCTTTGGCCAACTTTAGCCCAAGTGCCTATTCTCCAGCCCATCATGCCGAAGGCTTTGCTGAAGGAGAAAACGTTCACCACGTGGTCACCACTGACGCAACAGTGGGGAGCGTGCCCTTCCTGCATAGGAAAGATGTCGTTTTGATGGTCCAGAAAAGGATATCTTCAGAGCTGGATCCCACCTCCTCATACGTGAAGTGTTCATAGGTGTTGTCAACCACCATCCATACTTGGTGCCGCTGGCATGCGGCAGAAAATCGTTCAAGCCTTCCGGGCACATGAACCAGGGAAAATCAGGGAAACTAGTGAGCAAAAGAATACTTGGCTTCCAGTGAATGTGGTTAAACCCGATCATATCCAATAAATTCCAACCATATGTCAGAGTAAATCATACTCAATTGGGGCTTATGATTATTGGCTTTGCCACCAAATCCACCACTGTGTTGCCGGGCAAGTCTTTTGGAAGGATCACGCCAGTTGGATTGCCAGGGTTCACCTCCAAGCTTTCAATGTTTCAGACAGAAGTCATGCTTAAAGATAACGAGTACTGAGTACAAATCAGGAATGGAAGGCATCAACACTAGACAAAGGCAAGGCCCCACATCCACCAACCACCACCATTCCGCTTTTACAAGATAGATCATGCGCCGTGGAATCACACATGGACTTGATACATCTCAAGCAAGCCTTGGCATCAAAATTGGGTCGGGCACAGGTCAAATCCAACCGCAAGCCAACAGCTTGGCGATGAATAAAATCAAAATCTAACTTGTGGGGCTTCCCAGCCACCAAAATCACCAAAGCTGAGCCCCTGGCGATTGTGACCATCCGTATCCTCTCACCATTGGCTTGTGATAACCTCCACCGGTTGCGGGTGCCATAGCGCCACGGTGTTGGCAAGGTTGATGGCCATCAGGTGGGTCACTCAATGTTACTTATCTCGAACTGGTCATGCGAAGATCCCCCAAATTTCAAGGATGTGTTGGGGGGTTCCAAGGCAGCTTGACTGTTCATGTCGATCCAAATAACACATGGCCGACATGGCCTCTTCTCCAGCCACTCCACATCTGGAAGATAATCCTGCCGTTCACAGACTTCGAGGCCATTCCAGGCCCATAATGCTGGTCATTGGACTGACCCCATGGGCCCATCCTTGGTCGACGGCGCCAGGACCACATTGGCATGGCCGCCTGTCATCTGCAGCGCCATCCTGTCAGGACCAAGTTTCGATGAAAGTCCTATCATTCAAAAACAACTAAAACAACAACTACCTGCAAGTTATCTTGTGGTTTTTAAAACCTCCTGAGAACTTGCATCGTCACTGGATATGTGTTGGAAACCCAACTTCACTGGAAACTGGTCTCGCAGTGCTGAGCTGCCCACCGGTGGTTGAAGTAGAATGGTCTGAACAGAACTGCTGAATCCTGGCTCGGACAGGGACATGGGGACGTGTTCCTGTAGTGCTGTTGATGTGTATGTCATGGTTGCTGCTAATTACTGGCATATTAGCACCACAAAGCGATCATAAGATCGGGAATCATGCTGCTTCTGGTCCCCATCGACCCATGATTCTCAGTTGCTCAGCGGTTCCTGTCCTTCTCGTCCAATAGGGTGCACACCAAATTGGTGTAGGCTTGATTAGCTCCAGCCGTCACCATGACCTGTATGATCATCTGCTTATAGGTTCAACATGGTTGAACCCAGCCGGCCCCGGAAAGACATGAAACTGAATTTGGATGGAATTGGATCATGACAGTAATTAGTTGCTGGCCGGAAATCAACCACATATGTACTTGATATACGTGGTTGCAGAATATGTATCATATCCCGGTCAAATGATTGTGAGATCCCCAAGTTTGTAGGTTACAAAAAGATATGTAGTTGTGCTCCTCTATATTTGGGATTACTAAAAACATAGTTGTAGTTAAATATCACCAGGCATGCGAGTAAAATATTTGAAGGCGCCAAACAACAGGTAACTCTCGCGCTATGCCATGCCTCAACACCCTCCAGGCCGTTCTCTTTCTTCAATTTCTCCTGAAAGTAAATCCACCCAGGAGGGTGTCATAGGCACTGAGCTGATTTCAGGGAACTTCATGGTTCAAACTTGAAACTGTGGTTTCGTCATAAATTACAGTAATAATATTTGTTTAGCCAAAAAATGAACCAAAAAATTGGTAAATCTTCCTGCAGTTTGTCCACAAGGTTCAACCACTTTGGCCCGATCCCCAACAGGTCCGCCTTCAAGGCTTCGCGAAACTTTGGCAAGCCATCATCTGCGCCTATTCGGCTCAACAAATTCTGTGGAAACCACCTCACCATACCATGGTCTACCAGGATTTGGGGGTATCCGACATTTTGAGACAAACACATATCACCAACAGCCGCGGTAGGCAAAACCATTATAACAATATGTAACATGGGAATCTCACCAATTTCACCAATTTCTGGGCGCTGCCCAAAATCAACGAACTCTCAAATCTTCAGGGGATGAAAACGAAGAGTTTGAGGTATCCAGGTATATCCAAGTATATCTTGGGAGCACCCAGATTCACTTTCAGAAGTCATCTCAAGCCCGTGGTCTCTCAGTTTGTCTCTGCTCAATTTCTTGAGGGCCAGGCCATAAGAGTTGGTATCAGGCTCTTCTGCTGCCTTCCGCGCTGCCTGAAATTTTGAGCAGGTCCAATCACTTCAAGTTTTTGAGAGAGCACGTCGTCAATTCCTCAGCCAATGATTGGCACATATTGGCACCACCCATTCACAACAAGGTGAAATAAAGGATCTTCTTGCATCAATTGCCAGTAGACTAGAGCGACCCGCCTCCAGGGCTGCTGCAGGTGGTGCCCAGTGCACAATGCCCTGGGCCAGGGACATGATGCCCTCCTTGCCACGTAGCATGCGCTGCCTGGCAGTCTTTTGAGGATACATAAGAGATGGGTCAAAATTGGTATCTAATGGTGATATTGCTGGTATAATGGGGATGGATGTGTATGTGTATATATATATATACATATGATTACATATGTAGATAAACACTATATATATATGTGTGTGTACCCCATACTATGATTTAATGCTAATGTTGATGGTATATTGGATGATATGATCTACTACAATGGGGGAATGCCCACAATTGCAATTTCATTGGGAAAATGATGATAAACCATGAGATTTGGAAGACCATTTTCATCCACTCTTCAAGAAATGATATTCAATGAATATGACAAATGTTACAGAACGAGACGCGCTAAGCTGTTGAATTATGTTTATGGCCCAAGGAAAAAGTGAAATGTTACGTATAAAAGGTGCGATTGAGTTGATAACTTATATGGTCATCCAAACACATGTATACTTGTATAGTATATTTAATCCCATCCTTGCTTGAATACGTCCAAGAAGAGACCCCGACATGAACCCGTATATCCCCTACATCGGGTTTCTACTTTCAACATCTTTCAACCCCATGGTCAGTCCAAGACGCATGGCAACAATGCAGGGCTCATCGGTAAGACGTATCCGTTTGCTGGGCCGCAGCTCCTCCGGGCATCCAGGCTGAAAGACTCGGCGGTTGTCATTGGCATCCGCAACAATGCGTATAGTAATAATGTGTATATATATATACATATATATTTATATATGTGTATAATTTATAGTGAATGAATATGATTATATATAATATTATATAATTATTATGTAATATTGTATAATTGTGTATATAGAACATGTCATATTGCATATATACAATTTTAGATGCCTTCCACCACCGATTATACAGATGTCGCCAGGCACAATGTAGCAGTCCTCAGACATCGCAGTGAAGGGCCTGATCTCGCAACCGCGCCTCACATGATCCCTTCACCAGTCCATCGTTGTTTCTCTTTCTGTTTGTTTAAGGACCACTGGTCTGTTGTTGCCTGTCACCAGATGTCACGTGGGCACCCTGGTCAATGATTGTCAGGTCAATTTGTTCAGGTCCCTGCCTGCAGAAAGAGCTGAATACCACCAGGGAAGCCAAAGAATTAACAGCTCCCCTGACCAGTTGTGCAGGTCAAAGAGCAAGCGTGAGGAGGTTGAAGATGTCTTGCATGAAGAGACCTTCTGAAACACCTGCACTTGCCCAATCCTCAAGTTGCTGAATTAGAGACTCATCGCACCTCAAAGAAACACATGAAATCATTACTTCTTTGCTCGGTGGTCGAACCAGATCTCAAAAAAAAACAAGTTCCACAAGTTCCAAAATCCATTCCAGAGGAAAACAAATTTGAAATCACAATCCACTTCCATAATCAGTGGACTGGCATGTCTCAACACCTCCACCACGTCGCCTCTTGCTTGTGAGCGCGCGGTGCATGGGACTTCTGAATTCTACCAGCCCACACAGCAGCGACTGGCACACTGGAGGAACTCAACCATCCTTTGGCGAAACTGAAATTAATGGTTTCCTGCAATGGACCAAGACATGGTGGCCTGGAATTCAGCTCTTGAAACACTGAAACTGAAACTGCTGATGTTTAACCGTGCTTCGGTGCTTTGCATCGGACCATGTTCGACCAGTTACTGGACTGCAGAAAGGTTCCAAAATGAAAAATCAGCAGCAGCTTCCATTGGAGTGCACCATGTTCTTCGCCTCTCCGCCCAAGATGCAGAGCCATGACTGAAGAACTTTGTAATCAGCCATGGCAGCGATGGCGAAAAAAGCATGGCCAGTTCCCCGTGAGTTTTTGCCCAAAGGCGATATCTACAACCTACTTAGTCTGGCATTCCGTTCTATCATGCTTTCTGGTTGATATCGCCAGGGTTTGGTGCTAAACCCCCAATTGAAAAACGCGTCAACCAACTTCTGGGCTGAACTGGACATTGCTCACTTCTCCCATCCTTCCGCCTCAGGGCTTTCCCAGGAGGCTGGCGGCTCTAACCGTTAGCAGCAGCGCTGTCCAGCTGTGACTTCGTCTCAACGAAACAAGCGCTGACAAATGGCAGTTTGTTGGATTCCACTGGAAGCCCAGTTGAAGACCTTTGGGCGGCCCTTGAGCTATGGATGTTGTAGAAAGTGGAGGTAATATGGAAACATCATGGGGACAAGAAAGGACAAAGGATAGAAGACCAAACAGGGATCCTCTGTCTATGGACTGGACATAATTGAATTAAAGAAATTAGATGCATGGCTAACATTGCACAGTCAGAAACTCTGTATGAGCCAAACAAGGCGTGGGAGTATGGGATGCTATTCAACAATGCACGGTCAGCGCATCCGCCAAAACTTGAAGCAGCTACTAGTTGCTCACATTCAAAAGCTGTGATTAGGACCCATATCACGAAATATAGTTTGTGCATGTTTGTGCTATGATGTATTGTGAAGTGTCTTTTGAACATCATCCCAGCATATCCCTGCAATCCACAAACCACCTCCCAATGGAAGCATTCCTGTCTGCCTCCATGCTATGATTCGATCCGGTCCGCCATACTGGCGCTGAGGACTGGCTCAGGACTGGCAACACCAAATGCTTCGAAGGAGACGATTCGTTTTCTCCTGCGAGTCAAAGGAGATCATTCTGGGGACAGTGCACCCCATTTCTTGCTGGGGACCAGTACTTGAATTCATTTGTGTACAGTGTACATGGTTGCCTCCTGTTTGGGGGGGGATGTCAGGCTACCCCAAAACCTTTGGTGTTGCTGGGCCTTTTGTGGACCCACAAAAAGGTGCACCTGTCGACCATTCGAAATGGAAGGCAACCTGGAGATGTTGGGTTGGACATGGTTGGACATGGATTCAGCTTGGCACTCCATGATGACTTCAAACTTGGGGACCCAATAAGCCTCAAAGTTTGATTCGGGTTCGGAACTAAAACCATTCTGTGTTGGTGGTCAACAATTTCTATCCATGGCCGACTGGCTAAATATTGCTGTCAAGTGCCATAAAGATACCCAAAAATTACTTCACCTGCAAAAATGATTGGCACTTCAATCTACAGAAATGGGTATGGGTCAATACCTATAGATACATTACTATAGTGGGATGAACATCCATAAATCCCAGCTATGAATTGGTGTTCACCATGGGTATAGGGTTTTGACCCATCCCCAAATGGCACTTCAATCTACAAGCCCCATTGAGAGCCACTTGCCCAACTCAAACGACTCACCAATCCCTTGGGATCCCTTGGGCACCCTGACCACTTGCCCTTGGATGCATCTCTGCGCCCTGGGGGCAGGAGAGATGGATGTGACCAACTGCCCCAAAATATTGATATTCTGATGATATTAAAATATCACCAGATATTAGATGATATTAGATCTTCTGATGATATTCTGATGATATTCTAATATCATCTAATATCTGGCCTCACCCTCTTTGAAGCAAATACCAACAAACTTACAGCAAAGCAACTTGTAGGTCACATAATCTGCAGTTGAAAGAAGTATTTCTTCGCCAGATCTTGCCAATCACCCTTTAGAAGCCCTGCCACTCCTGAAACAGAGCACCCTACAACATCGAAACCAGATTACTCCTTTTGCCCATCTCCACCACGTAAAAAACAAACAACATCCCAGCATCCCTCATGAAATGTCCAAAATTTGCCTGATGGATCCAAACTAGCAATCTAGGTGGTTCAACTCTCATTTCAATTTCATTCTTCGATTTCTTGTTCCTAAAACATCAAAGACGAAAGTCATCCCTTCAGCTGTGCCTGGGCCACTGCCTGCAGTGGTGGGCTTGGCATATGCCAAGAAGCTCTCCTGCTGAGGCCGCTGCGCCTGATCGAAAGTGGAAGTCTGTTGTTGGCATCACCAGATGTTTTTTTTTAAAAGGTCCTTATGCCATCTTATGCCATCCCTGAGAATGAATTGAATCATCTCATTTCAATCTCATTTCCATTTAGCCTTGATTTATACCAGGTTCCATTCAAAATTATCCAAAATCATCCAAGTTTTTCAGCTGCACCTCGGGTGCCATGGAGCCAGGTGGCCAACGTCCCGAGCCCCTGCGCGGCCGACATTTGTTGGGAAATCTCCATCGATTTTCTGGAATCATGTGGAATCCTACCCCAATATATCCTAGGTCCTAGGCCCAAAATTAAGTATGTGAAAATATGTGAAAATCAACTAAAGTAACTAAAGTATGCCAAACGGCTGATATCCCACCAACAAAAACCACCATTGTTGGTCGGAACTTTGCGCGCCTTGAACTGTCAAGCCACCCAGTCGCCACCCAGTCCTGCCTGGAAGGTCGTCTCTCAAGGGCTGGTGCAACACCCGTCGGCGATACAAATCCTTGGAACACCGAAGATGCAAAGTTGCCACTGGCAGTCAAACTTCGATACTGAATCTGACAGTGATCCACACGAATCTAGAGTCACCTTGGAACGTATCGTGGCGACATGTTCGGAACTTTGAAATGTAGTTGAAATACACCGACACTTAGACAGATGTGCCGCATCACTCCGGAAGGCAGTTCGGACAGGTCATGCCCTGGATGTTTTGGAAATACTTCGAGTTGCTCCATCTGATACAATCTGAAGATATCTGAAACCCCCGGCCAGGACTTGCTGGCATGGTTCCCATGGACCGTCGGGGAGCGTGGCGCCTCCAAGGTGAAACGTTGGAGATGGCTAGATGGACCGGCTAAACGTTGGAAAACCATGCAGAGTGTAGGGGATGCTGTCGGGGATCTATTTCAGAAGGATATATCTTATGAAGTATCCAATATTTCTGATGAAAGGATATGAAAGAGTATGGAAGGTATTTAGGACATTTTGGGCAAAGAATGATGTTTCATCCGTTTCATCCCAAGAATTCGGAAATACTAGGACCCATCATGACCCATCATGACCCATCCGTACTTCCAACATGTTTGTACTCTTGCCACAGGCCAAATGAAGCTCAGGTCCACACAACAACTCGTTCATGTGCGGTTGTTCGATCCCGCAAGGAGGATAGACCTGTCGAGCGAACAAAGGCCGAACAAAGGCCACCCTTTCTATTTCTGAAATCATTTCCCCTAAGATCCATCATGATCCATCTTTATCATTCTTTATCAATATGCTGAAAAATTGTTTGATTTTTTTAAGCTACCCATAACAAAATCATGGCGAGCTTGGTGCCTCCCGCCTGCAAAGTCCGACATGCGCCGTGCATGGCCTTGATCTCATGCGACTGATCATCCACGAAGATCGCCTCATGGGATTGAGGAAACAGCAGGAAATCCAATGGAAATTTAAGGGATTTCTGTAAGAGTTACATATTACATATTATATCCACTGACCACTAAGTCACTATGTATCATTATATATAATATTATATATGATACTCAAGCAACGAAAAAGCGCTAATTGACAAAGTGTGGCCATATGATGCCATTTCCTCTGTTTTTGATCTTTCAGCTGTGCTGCTTAAGCTGAACGGCGAAACTCCCTGAGAAAATTATCGTCTTCAGTGAACAAAACAAAAAGAGATCCTACGAGATGGATGAGAACATTTTTGACATTTTTTGACTAAATAGTTGGAAATGTTCAAGGAGCAACATCCAGCAACTGTGAACAACCGAGGGAACCAACAAGAATGGGCGTGCAACCAGAAATGATGATGTTGTAGACCGTGACATCACCACAGCAACCGAGGATCTCAGATGATTTCAGGACATCAAAAATGATATGATAAGAACAATCTGAGAACAACAGAACAACCACGAACAATCCAATGGAGAGCACCAGCTCCACCAGCCCTCTATGACCTCATCGGGACGAATACCACGCGAGAGGATCAACTTTTCCATGACATCGCGCTTGGAACCTGCGGAACACTCCAATATAGGTATAGATTTAGTTATAGTATGTTATAGTCAACTATAGATAACTATAGTTCATAGATCAAGAACAGCTTGAATTTGTGAATCATCGTGAGCATGGTCATCCTGATCTTGTTCACCATCACAGCTAGGCTTCAGGCCCCACTCGGACTGTTGCCGTGTGCCCTGGCCAGGATCGATGGCATCATTGCATCTTTTTGAAACCAACTGAGAGATTATGAGAGGAAGGCTTGCCCGGCGCCTCGTTTCAATGGACATTAAAAAAAAACTATATATATCTGGGTAAATTCTAATATTTCACTAACCTGAATTTTAGGGCCATTTTGGGATGATTCCCCTTACTAACTATGATTCCAGTGAGGTCGCAGTGAGGTCGTTATAATTTACCCAGATATATATATATATATATATATATATGACAGTTGAAAACCCTATCAGTGGTCAATGCATGTCAATGCCAGAAGTGGGGCTTCACATCTCGATTGGGCCGTGGATAATTGATGACAACTGTGGATGAAAACACCGCACCCTGGAGAAGATCAAAATTGTTGGTAAGTGGATGTTCATCCCCCATTCATATTGAAAAATGATAGAGTTATTGAGTGCCATAGTCCCTGCAACCCCATCATCAAGCCCTTGTTGGACGTATCTTTGTTACTGACCACGATTGGTTTTTGTTCTTGGGCATACATATTTCTAATCTACGTACAGTAGATTTAATGTGTATATATATTATATGTGAATCTGTAACATGTACATATGTATACATGTATACATGTATACATGTATGTATGTATGTATGTAATGTAATGTAATGTAATGTAATGTAATGTAATGTAATGTAATGTAATGTAATGTATGTATGTTTATGTATGTATGTATGTATGTATGTATGTATGTTTATGTATGTATGTATGTATGTATGTATGTTTATGTATGTATGTATGTATGTATGTATGTTTATGTATGTTTATGTATGTATGTATGTTTATGTATGTATGTATGTTTATGTATGTTTATGTATGTTTATGTATGTTTATGTATGTTTATGTATGCTTATGTATGCTTATGTATGCTTATGTATGTTTATGTATGTTTATGTATGTTTATGTATGTTTATGTATGTTTATGTATGTTTATGTATGATTATGTATGATTATGTATGATTATGTATGATTGTGTATGATTATCTATGATTATCTATGATTGTCTATGATTGTCTATGATTATCTATGATTATCTATGATTATCTATGATTATCTATGATTATCTATGATTATGTATGATTATGTATGATTATGTATGATTATGTATGATTAGGTATGATTACGTATGATTACGTATGATTATGTATGATTATGTATGATTATGTATGATTATGTATGATTATGTATGATTGTGTATGATTGTGCATGATTGTGCATGATTGTGCATGATTATGCATGATTATGTATGATTATGGATGATTATGTATGATTGTGTATGATTGTGTATGATTGTGTATGATTGTGTATGATTCTGTATGATTCTGTATGATTCTGTATGATTCTGTATGATTATGTATGATTATGTATGATTATGTATGATTATGTATGATTATGTATGATTATGTATGAATATGTATGATTATGTATGATTATGTATGATTATGTATGGTTATGTATGATTATGTATGATTATGTATGATTATGTATGTATGTATGTATGTATGTGTATGTATGAGTATGTATGAGTATGTATGAGTATGTATGAGTATGTATGAGTATGTATGATTATGTATGATTATGTATGATTATGTATGATTATGTATGATTATGTATGATTATGTATGATTATGTATGATTATGTATGATTATGTATGATTATGTATGATTATGTATGATTATGTATGATTATGGATGTATGGATGTATGATTATGTATGATTATGTATGATTATGTATGATTATGTATGATTATGTATGATTATGTATGATTATGTATGATTATGTATGATTATGCATGATTATGCATGATTGTGCATGATTATGCATGATTATGTATGATTATGGATGATTATGGATGATTATGTATGATTATGTATGATTGTGTATGATTGTGTATGATTGTGTATGATTATGTATGATTATGTATGATTATGTATGATTATGTATGATTGTGTATGATTGTGTATGATTGTGTATGATTGTGTATGATTGTGTATGATTGTGTATGATTGTGTATGATTGTGTATGATTGTGTATGATTGTGTATGATTGTGTATGATTGTGTATGATTGTGTATGATTGTGTATGATTATGTATGATTATGTATGATTATGTATGATTATGTATGATTATGTATGAGTATGTATGATTATGTATGATTATGTATGATTGTGTATGATTGTGTATGATTGTGTATGATTCTGTATGATTATGTATGATTATGTATGATTATGTATGATTATGTATGATTATGTATGATTATGTATGATTATGTATGATTATGTATGATTATGTATGATTATGTATGAATATGTATGATTATGTATGATTATGTATGATTATGTATGGTTATGTATGATTATGTATGATTATGTATGATTATGTATGTATGTATGTATGTATGTATGTATGTATGTATGTATGTATGTATGTATGTATGTATGTATGTATGTATGAGTATGTATGAGTATGTATGAGTATGTATGAGTATGTATGAGTATGTATGAGTATGTATGAGTATGTATGAGTATGTATGAGTATGTATGAGTATGTATGAGTATGTATGAGTATGTATGAGTATGTATGAGTATGTATGAGTATGTATGAATATGTATGATTATGCATGAGTATGTATGAGTATGAATGAGTATGAGTATGTATGAGCATGGTTGAGTATGGACGATTGTGTATGATTGTGTATGATTGTGTGTGATTATGTATGCTTATGTATGATTATCTATGATTATGTATGGTTATGTATGATCATGTATGATTATGTATGATCATGTAAGATTATGTATGACTATGTATGATTATGTATATATGTATGTATGTATGTATGTATGTATGTATGTATGTATGTATGTATGTATGTATGTATGTATGTATGTATGTATGTATGTATGTATGTATGTATGTATGTATGTATGTATGTATGTATGTATGTATGTATGTATGATTATGTATGATTATGTATGATTATGTATGATTATGTATGATTATGTATGATTATGTATGATTATGTATGATTATGTATGATTATGTATGATTATGTATGATTATGTATGATTATGTATGATTATGTATGATTATGTATGATTATGTATGACTATGTATGATTATGTATGATTATGTATGATTATGTATGATTATGTATGATTATGTATGATTATGTATGATTATGTATGATTATGTATGATTATGTATGTATGTATGTATGTATGTATGTATGTATGTATGTATGTATGTATGTATGTATGTATGTATGTATGTATGTATGTATGTATGTGTGTATATATATATATCAACCGTATGTACAGGGTATGGTTCATTATTGGGATTGCCAGCCATTGCTCCCGCCATTGCCCCCAGCGCACCAGATACTTCACATCATCTCCGAGGTTGGATCGTCTCACCTGGCTGTCATAGCCTCAGTGTGACGCCGGCATACCACAACCATGGGACAGTGATAAATACCTAAGGCAGCTTACTACCCAGTTGAGGATTTATTATGTGCGGATAATGACAATGCTGGTTTCACTCGTAATACATCATCTGTCAAACCTAATTTTGAGGGCCAAGGTCATGATTGACCCCAGCTTATGGTGAATCATGGTCGCACAGCCACTTTTTGGCCATCGTTGGACTGCACCCCCCTGCAGCTATGCACAACGATCCCGTTGCGAAGCACCCAATTTGAGGCTCTAAGTAATGTACACATTGCGCAAAGCAAGGACATCAGCAACAGATTTTGTGACATGTCCTGAGTTCTGCCATGTGTCTTGGTTGCAGCAAGAACAGCTTCCAAGCTCCAGAAGTATTTTTTTTCATCAAAATCAAAAACTCTCACCTGATGCTTCATATCCCCCCTGTGCAACAGCAGTGTTCTCTCACTGCTTTGCTCTCAGCTTCCGTGGCTTTCGGAAAGCCTGCGGTCGTGCTGATGTTGGATCTGAGGGACACTGAGATCACACTGGCGCTGGATCCTGCCTATTTCCTATGTCGTCTTCGGAGGTCTTCCACGGCGTTTTGGTGTAGAAGCCTCCTGGCGACATGGCACTGCCTTCAGATCAGCAGAAAGACATATGTTTGATCTGCAAATTCTAAATTCTATGAGGTCTATTGGGGGCAACAACTGAACTGGCAAAGAGTTGTCACTGTGAACACACTGCAAGATTTGCTTACATTGCTGATACCAAGTCGTACCACCACCGTCGAAAAAACATGGACGTCCAGCGCCAAGGAACGTTATTGCCCCCCACCCCACCCCAACCCCCCACACGTCTCACGTGGCAACATGTATGCGCGTGCCAAGGAACGTTATTACCCCCCACCCCGCCCCAAACCCCAAACCAAAAAAAACACCAAAAAAAGAAGAAAATGTGCGTTTCGTTGCGTCGAGATGGTCAAAATTTACAAAAAAGCGCTCCCGCTGTGACGGCAAACACGTGATAAAGCAAAAATAATGTTTCGTTACGCGGCCTTCTACGTGCGCCCAGCCAACTACTACTATGTATATAAGTGCTGATCTTAACTCAACACTCAGCACTCAACAGCACCTCGCCTTACCCCCCTCCAGTGTACCGGGTCCTTTGCGGCCGCTTTGGGCATCGCAGTCTTTGCTTTTTCAGCCTGAGGCCCACTCCAAAACTTTGTAAATTGGGATCTGTAGCCTGAGGAACATGCCAAAACCGTTTGAAGATGTTTGAAGATGTTTGAAGATGTTTGAAGATGTTTGAAGATGTTTAAAGTCTGAAGATGTTTGAAGCACATCGTAACATATCGTAACATATTCACCAAACTTCACCGGTTCTATCACCAACTTCTGGGCTCCGAGCCTCAGCTTTCTCCCTCTGCAGCTTGGCCTCGAGCTGATGCTGAAGTCATTGTCATTGGGACCGTTTATCACCAGGTTTCTGATAGCTTCTATGTGAGGCTAATATGTCCTAAACGCATTTTGGGTTCGGATTGGGTTAAAGATTAAAAAGTTCCCTTTCATCCGCAAGGGCCTCTGCCAGGGCTTTCTCAAGCTCGGTCTTTCTCTGAACCTGCAAGAGCAAATCTCTACAGCATATGGTCATGCACCAATCATCCAGAACTGTCAGTTTTTTGTCGATCTGGAAAGAATCAGGACATATCAGGACACTGGATGGAATGTGAGACCAAACGTAGCAAATCGAAAGGCTGCCGGGCTGCCGGAAACAAACTATGGCCCTATGACCGTCATATGACCTGCCTCTTTGGCCGCTTCTCCTGCTTCCTGCTTCTTGGCCTGGGCTGGGACTGGGACGCCATGGATTTGATTTTTGAATCGGTTTTGAACATGAAGAATTTGCAGAATGATTTATGATGTTTTTTACATGTAAAACAACAATTAAGGATTGATAATCCAACCTCTTTCTCTCTTGCTTGGTCTTCCACCCACGCTTGTTGTTCTGTTTATTGGTTTCGTCCGCAGGTTCTTTTTAAAAAGCCCAGATTTGCTAGTTCTTTCTCGTAATTTTGTGTCTTCCTCCGTTTCCAGTGGTTTCACGGTCCTCTTGTTCCATCATTATCTCCTGACTTATATCTTCAAACAAAATGTAGAATCAACGATATCAAAACTGCCAAAAACAATGGAATTATAATGAAAATTCTGCCATTTCCCCATCAAAGCCCGCCATCCATTCCCTGCCTGCAGCGTTTGTTCCAAAATGTGCTGCTCCTTCCCGGCCCTCTCCGCCGCCGTCTGCGCCGACTGCGCGGCCGCACGGGCCTTTGCAACATGGATGATGAAGCTTCCAAAAATTGGGTAAACAGTAAACCTTGGGTGCGCTCGCTTTAACCAGGTGATCCCGTGGTTTATGATCATTTTCCGATTGATGTTTCCATATAGAATTGGGTCTGACACGTCTATGGATCGAGAAAGTGGGGATTCAACTATTCAACAACGGTGGGGATGTTCGACCCATTTCAAAAGAATCTCTTGGATGACTTCTGCCTTGGATGTGCACAGCAATGCAGTGCGGCGGTCCATTGTTCTGGCCAATACAAACCAATCAAATGGTGAACATCCACGATCATCCTAGAAAAACGAACACCGTGAATGAACTACAATGTCTGAACCAGTGGTGTCTTTTGGTGAGACCTCCACACATTAAGGTGATCCCCCAGTATTGCCCCCCAGAAGTGTCTCACCTCAACCTGGCCTTGTCGGCTGCTGCGGTGGCCCTATCGAAGCTACTCTGAAGCTTCACAATCTCCTGGCCGACAGGAACCAGCTGAAGATGAACGAAAATTGTTTTGGAACAATGTGGTGGCAAGATGTGGCAAGTGTTCAAAAATCATCCACAACCCCCAGGAAAAAAAACTGGAAAAAGAAAGACGCCAACGGTCAACGCATTTCGACTAATTATGAGCATTGTCTGGGGTGGTTTCCCACCTTCCAACATTGACTTCTTATCCCATCATGTTTCACAAAAAAATTGTTTTTCCAATCCCAAGCCGCCCAAGCCCAATCTCACTAAATACGTCTTGAACCTTCCGCCACCATTTTGTATCATGCTCCATTCATGTTCCATATGATCCAACATTCTCCATATTGTCCGATTCTATCCCATAAAAATGCTTGGTTATGGTGGGTTCACCCATACAAAAATGGATCAAAAATGCTTGGAGCGGTGAACCCCAATGGATCAATGGTGGGTGAAGCACCCCATCCAACCCCCAAGCCCCATACACTGCCATCCTGCTCCAAGGCTGGCAGCCGCTGCTCGGCCGCTTTCGCCTTCTCCAGCGCCATCGAGGCACTCTGCTCGCGTTGCAGGCAGGCACCCAGCGGGTCCTGGCCATGGCTGGGTGGATGGCGTGTAAATTCCAGATAGTCTTACCATAGACCATAGATGTAAAACAGGGATGTGGATTTTCTATGATGATAATCATTTCTGTATACAAAGATTTAGGAATTATGAGGTATGATATCCGTAGGTGCATGATGAAAATGGATAACAAACGGATTCATACTACATTCGCACTTGATCAAATGTCTTGATATAGTTGCTGCTTGGTCACGGTAATTTAGTTGGCTCCGTTTGCTACATCTTCCCCAAATTCATCTCAGCCCTTGCTCTTCCTTCTTGTCCCCCTGCCGCACCTGTTCTTTGGCAGGGCTTTGCGCCTGACCAGAGCAACATGGATCTATTCAAGAGCAGGCCTACCTACACCCCCATGTTCATAAAACATAAATTGCACCCCAAGGATCCCCAAGGTGCCTTCTGTGCTGGCTCAGCTTGTGGCTCCGCCTTCTTTGCACTTGCAGCCTTGGGAGTTGGCTCCCTGGGTGGTGAGGGCTGCGGCGCAGCTGGTGCTGGTGGAGGCGGCGACTTTTCTCTGATTCTCGTCCTTGGAGCTTCAGGACTTGCCGGTCTGGGTTCAGGTGCAGCCTTTGGGGCTGGAGATGCTGCTGGAGATGCAGCTGGAGATGCTGAAGATGCGGGGGTCGGGGCTGGGGTTGGAGCTGGAGATGCTGCTGGAGTTGGGGCTGGAGGGGAGGCTGTTGCTTTTGGTGCTGGGGAAGCGATTGTTTTAGGTGCTGTAGGTGAGGAAGCCGTTTCTGGTGCTTTGGGCGTTGCTGCTTTGGGCGCTGGTGACTTGGGCTTTGCCTTGGGAGTGGCTACCTTTGGGGTGGCTGCTTTTGGTGTTGCCTTGGGTGAAGCAACGGACGCAACTGAAACCGCAGCTGAAGGAGCTGGACTCGAAACCTTTGGACTCACTGCCGCCTTCGCTGCGGCCTTCGCTGCGGCCTTCGCTGCCTTGGGGCTGGCCTTGGGGCTGGCCTTGGGGCTGGCCTTGGGCGACAGCGGCATGGCCTTCGCCTTGGCCTTGGGCGTGGCCAGCTCTGAAGCCGTCTCCGGCACTGTGGAGGCTGCGGAACGCCGGGAGGCTGAGGCACGGGGCGAGGCTCCGGAAGCAGCTGGTGGGGTGAAGTTGGGCGAGACCACATCTGGGGCATCGGCCACTTCATCTGCAGCTGCAGCCTTCAGCCTGACATTTTGGACGTTTGGCTTTCAAAAAGGACTTCAAGATGGACACTCAAAAGCAAGAAACTTCTCCAATTTTGGGAATGACTCATGTCGATCGAATGTTGATATCGCTCTGAGACTCTTCGAACGGCACAATCAAACATTGGAATCTTTGGAGAGGCTGAACTGTTGAACACTGTTGCTCTGGTTGGTTCAGGGTGTTGACAGGAATACAGCAACCAATCTAATACCAATCTATAACCCCCAGCCATTGTATAACCTTTTCCCTTTTGATCCCTATAGTACAACCTTCAAGAAAACATCCATCATCATGCATTTTGACCCATTTGCCCTCCCTTGACTGGCTGCAGCTCTGCATAGCTCAGCTACTCTGACCGTAAATACGTCTCAGCGCCGACCGTGACTGACAGGTTCTCCAAAATGTACCTCGGCTGTTGGATCCTCACCGCTGGGCGCCATTGATGAGCCTATCTACCGACCAGGAGACTAGCAGTTGGAAATGGTTGCTAGGCAACTTCGAACACAACCTCTGATTTCAAAGCCATCTCTCACAAAGGGCAGAATTGTGTTCTCAATATGAAAGTGATTGCTTGGGGATGCAAATAGTCATGTGCTGTCTGTAGCAATGGGATGACATCATTGAAAGCAGCGTAGATTGACGGCAAACACATCAAACTCCGCAACGAGGTAACACGAAAGTCAATGATGTTGGCTTGATGAATTGAAAGACTCTCCAAGTGTACTTTTGTCTGTGCCTCAAACAAGTAGGGAACGTACAGATCTACATTTCAAAACAAGCCTTTTATCCCAAATCTGTGGATCTACCGTAGTTGGTGTTTCTCACGAACTTTGTCTCCCTCCTAACCTCCAACTTCTGTGTTGCATAGTTATGTCCTCATCTGCGTACAGCCTACATCAATGGGGTTATATCATGTTATATCCCCAGCATATCCCCATTAGATCCACTATGCATGATATTACACACCATGAACCTACCATAAACCCTAGGTTTCATGCGTTCCCAGTTGCTGCAAACTTCTCACTTCACAATCAATGATGGGACCGCCATCAGTAGCATCAGCCCACAACTCCATGGCCTGTTCCCCGGTGATCCATACAAAACGAGTTTTGGGATAAACCATGTGCAGAAAAAACCAATGTATTGGAAATGTATTGGAAATGTATTGGAAATGTATTGGAAATGTATTGGAAATGTATTGGAAATGTATTGGAAATGTATTGGAAATGTATTGGAAATGTATTGGAAATGTATTGGAAATGTAGGAACATGGAAAAATGGAAAATCATTTCTGAGTTTTATCAGTTATATCTGTCTCTTTCATTAAAACGCCTGGTTTCTGCATGGAGTTCTGCCGGACATTGCAGAATGATTTGCAAATGACCTGCAGACATAGCTGGAAACGGTTTGATTTGTCTGCACGTTCAAGCTGTCGACAAAAGTAGCAAATGGACACCCTTTGTCCAAAGTGTAAATAAATCCAAAGTGATGATAGTGATAGAAACATTCTGGAGTATCAGAACTAGAAATCAACTGGTTAGCAGAAAGTCCCAGCCAACTCATCTATATTGGTATACTTGGAATACAGCATGCGACAGCGTTGTGGGCAAAATGGTTTTCAGTTGATCTTGGGTCTTGGGCTGACAGGATTACCATGTTTGGGGTTCGTCTCAAAACACGTGATACATAGTGATACCCCAGTTGTTTGCACTTAAAATGAGGAAAAAATTGATAAACCATGGGATTTGAAGGTTCCAAATTTGAAGAAACCTTGACTCAACTGACCTGTCCATCTCTTTTTGAGACGGCCTGTGCATCTTCTTGCCATCTGAGTTTCTGAACCCAGGCTTTGAGTGGTTGCTAAGTTACTAATCCAACACTCTTAGAACATATCAACACCATCAAAAACGGCAAAACACCATTATCAACCTATGATGTGAAACCTACATGTGTGTGTATATATATATATACACAATAGCAATTATTATACATGTGCATATATATATATATATACGGTACGTATAATATATATATATATTATAATACATGTATAGTACTATATCTATATGTATTAGGTGACATTTAACAAATATCACCGACAGTCAGCATCTCCCATTCCACCTGCCTGCTCCTCAGAGATGTTGCCCTCATCTGCGAAGCCTTGGGCCTTCTCCAGGAGTTCGCGGTCGCACTTCACGCGGTCCACGGTTTTGAAGAAACCGCCTCGGTAGATGGAGAGAATTGGAGAGAGAAAGGGAAACATGACCACGAAATGGTCGTTTTCCCATTAAAAATGGTGGTTTTCCCATTAAAAATGGTGATATAAACATGATATAAACATGATATAAACAGAACCTGAGAAGGGGTGGAACGAAAGCCAGCGCTTGCTTTTTGACTCGCGCGGGGGCGCGTGAAACTCCACCTCATCCATATGGCATGGCTCAAACATGAAGCGCCCCAACATCAACAATTGCTATCGGGTCATAATTTTCCAATCATTAAATGGACCTTTTTAGGGTAAACTCCACGATTTTGTAACTTCTATATCCAAATATGTTTCCTACAATGTACTGCGGCATTGTGAAAAGTTCTATCTCAAGTTCCGTAAATCCGCCTTTGGTTGCTCATTTATCTTAAAACAGCGCAAGTTTGCTCCCACCTATTGTAGATAAATAATACCCGCTTTTTTGTGTGAACAGTGGTCATGTGACCTCTCAAAGTCTAAATTGTTTTCTCCCCAGAATCGTGGTCCATGCTTCTCCGCGAAGTTCCGCAACATTTTGGCCGTACGGTGAGAAATCAAAACATAGCTCTACTCGCAAAATGGGCAGTGCAAACCCAAGACAATATTATAACATACGTAAGAAAGGGTATAAGAACGAATGAAAATCGAGGAAAACAATGCAAAACCCACGGGAAATATAGAACAGTGGCGAACATGCAGTCCAAATCAAAAGTATATATATTTAGGCCATTTACAGACCTGGGTACCCCCCCCCACCCCCCAAGGGTCTGGAAAATAGGTATTTTACAGGAAATGTCGCGGAATAGCATCATCCCTGACATCGATAGAGATAATTGTTTGGCATCCCGGAAAATCTTCTCAGCTATCACACTCGCCAAACATCCCTTTTAAAAGGCACACATACTATCACGGACGTACAGATGCATATCATTCCCGTCATTGCCATTAGAAGATTCAAATTCTTTCTCGATGTTTTAGTACAAGATTCACTTTTAGTTCTGTTTCAGCCTTCTCAGTACGGCCTCTTACAATGATATTACAGCATTTGTCTCCTAACCTAGGTGGCTCCTGGGCGCAATCTTCATTCCAATGCTTTGTGACAATAACCAGAGGCCTGGAGCCTATGCATCACTTGACAGTCGACTCAGTTCTAAACCGGAAAGACTATTCCTTCCGTTTACCAGTAGATCGTTTTTGTAGTTCTTATCACAAAACTACCAGAATCAGGGAGGCACCAAAAAACGTCAAACAGCTTTAAGCATTATAAATACTCTAATCTGCAGATTGTATTTATTTTTCTTACTCTGTGAACGAAATCACACTTTTCTAACTTCACACAGATTACCATGAAACCAATTTTCCCATGCAACTCCTAAAATCTTACAACTCATACATCTTTTTTCCTATACCATCCGCATCTTGCTCCAAGGTTTCATGGCAATGTCTTGTACGCGAGTCAGCCACTATTTCCTATCACCAAACTACATTGCTCATCATCTAACATTATCTACAGAAACCAAATCGGATTTCCTGCTCAACGTTTCCGCTCGTTAACATTGTCTTGGTTTTCACTATATTTTGAAAGCATTTTTAGATATAACATTTTCCTAGGTTTTCACTGTATTGTTCTAACATGTTACATGCCTCCTAGCATGTTCACGCGTGTCCTCCATGTTGTACTGTTTTCTACATCATTTCCTCTAGTTGTTACAAGCATTTCCTAGCGTGTACACCGTTTTCCGAATATTGTCATAACTTTTCTTCCAGTTTCCACTGTTTTTTCTACCGTTTCCTGTGGTTATTTTCTTCTCTTTTGTAGGTTTTCACTGTGTTTTGTCCAGCTTTTTTTATTACATGCTTCCTACCATTTTCACCGCTTTCCTCTATGGCTTTTTGTACCATTTCCTCTCGTTTCCTGCATTTCATGCATTTTCAATATATTTTTCCAAGAGTTTTACCCGTCTCCTTCAGTTTCCGATCGTTTTTGCACCATTTCCTCTGGTTGTTATCGCATTTTCCTGCACTTTCACTGTATTTTTCCAGCATGTTTACTGCATCGTCATAGTTTGTTCCTAGCAGTCGCTCCGGGTTTCCTCCATGTTCCAACAGATTTTGCACCCTTTATTCTGGTTGTTATCACATTTTCCTGCCAGGTTGTTATCACATTTTCCTTCACTGTATGTTTCCAGCATTTTCCAGTGGATTTTGCACGATTTCCTCTGATTGTTATCATGTTTTCCTGCAGTTTCTATATCATCTATATCCTCTTCGTGGGTTTTCAATCTATTCATGCATTTTTAATCTATTTTTCCAAGATTTTTACCCGTCTCCTTTTTACACCATTTCCTCTGGTTTGCTGCATTTTCAATGTACTTTTCCAAGAGTTTTACCCATCTCCTTGATTTTTCCGATCGTTTTTGCACCATTTCCTTTGGTTGTTATCGCATTTTCCTGCACTTTCACTGTCTTTTTCCAACATGTTTACTGCATCGTCATAGTTTGTTCCTAGCAGTCACTCCGGTTTCCTCCATGTTCCAACAGATTTTGCATGGCTTGTTCCTAGCATTTTCCTCTGATCGTTATCATGTTTTGCTCAAGTTTCATTGTATTTTCCAATACATCCTCTTCGTGGGTTTTCAATATGTTTTGTCCATTATTTTTTTACTACATGTTTCCTATCATTTTCACCTCTTTCCTCCATAGGTTTTTGCACCATTTCCTCTGGTTTCCTGCATTTTCATACCTTTTCAATATGAATATTAATCCAAGAGTTTTACCTGTCTCCTTCATTTTCCGATCCTTTTTGCACCATTTCCTCTCGTTGTTATCACATTTTCCTGCACTTTCACTGTATTTTTCCAGCATGTTTACTGCATCGTCATGGTTTGCGCCTAGCATTCGCTCCGGTTTCCTCCATTTTCCAAGGGCTTTTCCATGGTTTGTTCCTCGCATTCGCTCCGTTTTCGTCCGTTTTCCAGGGGATTTTGTACGATTTCCTCTGATCGTTATCATGTTCTCCTGCAGTTTCATTGTATTTTCCAATACATCCTCATGGCCTTTCCGGCCACCAAAAAGGCGGACCTAGGGGGAATCGATACCCCACCGTCAGCAAATTGCCTAGTGGTACTTAATCCAGCAAAATGCTCCGTTTTCTGGCGCTCAACACAGGGGCACGGCGAGATTTCGTTCCCTTTCGGCAACCACCCCCCCCCACACCCCCTATTCTCACTTCGTTCGCAAACAGCAACTAGCCAGCTAGCTGGCTTTCGTAACAAACATAAAAAAACACCAAACGTACCCAAATGATTCCTTTGCACACCGGAGATGAAATTTGCCCTTCTTTTGCCCATGCCCGATTCCTGCCAGATTAGCGGCTTGTGTTTTTGTCATGGCAGAAGCTTCTGCCAAAGCGTTGTCTTTGGCTGCCTCCTCTTGTTTCATTTTTCTGGTTTGATCAAAATTGATTGTAAACAACATATCCCCCTTTGTATTCAGTTTTTGACCCGGGTGTCCGGTTCTTTGGTGGAGGGTGCCATTAAAAATAAGGTCATACCTCCGGACACAGTGGGTTTCGATGGATTTTCTAGAGACAATTGGTGTTATGCCTGGGGATCTTGGGGATTTCCTGGGGACGTCTGGATATGAGACCTGGACTGGGTTCGAGGTGGTGTTTTGATTCTTTAAAGGCTCAAGCCTGTCGACCTTACAACTTGGGATATTTTGGGGAGGGTGCCACTAAAGAATCAGGTCCTGCCTCCCGACACAGGGAAGGGTGTCCTTAAAGAATCAGGTCCTGCCAAAACACTGTTTTTTTTCTGAGCTGGTGTTTTGATTCTTTAGAGGCTCAGGGCGTGTCGACCCTGCAAAACCTGGCAATTTTTCACAGTTTGGGGTATTTTTTGGGAGGGTGCCATTAAAAAATAAGGTCATACCTCCGGATACAGTGGGTTTCGATGGATCTTCTAGAGACAATTAGTGTTATGCCTGTGGATCTTGGGGATTTCCGGGGACGTCTGGATATGAGAACTGGACTGGGTTCGAGCTGGTGTCTGATTCTTTAGAGCTATACCCTGCAAAACGATAAACATATTTATTTGTATAAATCAATATATGCAATTTGTTGCTTTTATCATATCTAGTGTCAGTTTGGTTGCGTTTATTGAGCAATGTTTTGGCCAGTACTTTAAACATTGACAAACTCAACTTAGGGTTCCAAATTAAATCTCTAAAGAATCAAGGGGGAACTAATAACCCGGGTTGAATTTTGTTTTAGCCAGGGAAAATTCCAAGAGGAATAACACCATATGATTTTCAAACGCTCTGTTTTCAAACGCTCATAAATGTGCAATAGTCCGGCGTCCCTGAAGAATGTCCTTGTTGAAAAATCAATTGAAATGTGTTGTCAATGTTGAAACTTGTTTGGCTCATCTGCGATACAAACGATGGCCGGCGCACAACAGCAGTTTTAGCAAATCGCAAAAATTCAAAGAGCTTGTCTATTGCCCCTCAAAATGCTCTCTCTAAAAAATCATGACCTAGGAAGCCTTTGCAAAAAATAGGGACTCCGGGTTAGCCATGTGGAAAAATTATCTGTTTTTGCATTAAAAAAAACATTTTTTGTGACAACCCGGGTTGTTGCATTTTTTAGTGGAAATTCCAAGGGGGATCATTTACATGCATTCACTCATCACGTTTTCATTTTCCATCTCACCTTCACGTCTTCTGCTTGTGAGCATCTGTTCAAGCGGCAGGCAAGCTGGTTTTCATTTGACACACAATCCCAAAAACATTGATAAACATATCAAAAAACAAGTTCCTAGGATCTTCCCAGGAAGGCCTCTTAAAGAATAGGAAACCGTCAAAACAACAATATACATCTTAAAAAATGAAATTGGATTTGTTGCCGGCCAAACTGTCCTTTAAAAAATGTAGTTTTTTAAAGACATCATGTCCTCAAGTCATTAGGCTAAATTCCCAGGAGGATATTCTAAACATGGATTCTTTGAACTTAGGTTAAATTTAGCTATTGGTCAAAAAAAGCAGGAACCTAATAGAATGGGATATATTTAGATTATGATTGGTAATCGATGGTAATCGCATGTAATCACCAAAATATGTGTGACAAAAGCACGGCGCAGAGATTTTCAATTGCAATTGTCAGAGCTATGGGGCAACAAAAAGGATTTAAGCGCATAATTTTAAATTCAATTGATCGATTTTGAAACCAAATCTATCCCATTTTTCCTTCTTAAAATCTCTAGATAAAAGGCATGCTTTTCGAACTTTTTGGGCTTATCTGGAGGGGGACGCAGTGGATTCTACAAAAGCTTGTGCACGCGTGTGTCACTACAAAATATAGTGCATGACAAAAATTATCCAGAAACTAGGACATCACGTATCGAATCTGTGCTTTGTGGGTGAAAGAAACTCTAAACATGGATTCTTTGAACTTAGGTGAAATGTCCCCCTCCAGATATCATACATAATCATATTATATCAAACCTTGCCTAAGCCTTTCCATGTACAAAACCAGGGCGCCAAAGGCTCAGACTGGAAAGGTTGGGACATTTGTGTTGGTTTGCAATGGTGAATTCAAGCCCTGTAACAAAAAACACAATGATGGGGTTGGATCTTGTGTAAAATAGAAATCTCAGCAAATGTGGGACACATGATACATGACCCCATAAGCACTTTCATACTTCAAATGTTCGTAAAGTAATCTGAAGTGGCTCTCTACCCTAAACTAATTACTCAGGCACCACAACCTCGAGTCTGACGCCGTGAAAGGTGCATAGAATCAAAACATATCAAAACCACCACCTTATTTAAAGTCATAGGGGGATACTCCCTGTGTTAAAAAATATGTTTTGGAGCACAACCCCCTTGATTTTACACAGCTGTTTGCCAGGGAGATTGCATTTACCCACAAAAAAACACACGTGTTTCCAAAAGGTTTATTTCAATAGGGAACATGACGCCTGACAATTAAAGAATTTAGTCCGGTATGAACTGTATACGTTGATTATAATTGATGGACATCCTATATTATCTTGAAAATACAAAGAATGTTCCTCGTTTTTTCCGGTGATCTTTGGTGATGCTCAGCGGCTTGACCATCTGAATTGAAAGATGGGCAGATGTTTTACATCGGCCCCACGTACTCCGTTCTCTGAATTGGCTGAACGGAAAAAAATGCTACGCGCCCTCGGTTGTTGATGAACAAAAGCTGTTGTTTCGCGTAATTAAGCAACTCAGTGACGGCTGCACTGGAAACATGTCCCACATATATCAATCTATAGCATCAAGCTATTGATCAACCTACTGCTTCATTGAGCTCTAGCCTTCGGGTCTCACTCTGGTGCAGACACCGCACTCAGATCGAAAAGGAGTCCGAGTCATCGTCCGCAACCGCTGCTTTAACAGACATGGGTAGTCCTTCTGGCACTTCATCTTTGGACCAACATCTACACTGCAGTAGACAAAGTCCAAGAATCAGGAAGAACAAGAATACAGCCAAGGGAATGCAGCTCAATTTAGGTGCAAAGATACCAGAAACACGCCCCAAGAAGGCTACTCCAATTGTCACGCAAACCACCAAAGCAGCCGAGATGATTCTAATGCACATCGGCACCCTGCCAGTCTGGGACCAGACGATTTTGTTTGCCCAAAGGTAGACGAGCATACTCGGAAATACAAATGCCCAACCTGCAGCCAAATTGTTGGTGAAAGCCAGAGCGAACTGCCATGTCGACGCTTCCTGCTCGGCTGCTATGAAGGCCTGCGTGGAGGACACCAAGCGAAACCCTGGTTTGACATGACGCGTCATGAGTTTGTAGAATCAATGAAAATCAGGATGACATGAAACCACTTCGGTCCTGAACAAGAACCAACCACTATAGTGTGATGAACATCTTGCTTCGAGGTTTACCCGGCCTGTGGGATTTGGCGTATCAAGAAAGGCGTATTGATACTGAAGACCACGTAGACGAACAGGTTCAATGGAATCAACTGTGAACCGTCACAGGCCTGCAAAATCTGAGTCCCATATTCATGTCGAACAGCTGTATTGAACATGTCAAGTCCAGTCAGATTCTCTGTGGTCTTGGTATCATACCACGCTGAGAAACTCTGATAAATCAGTTCCCGATCACACGGGATCAGCTCTCCATCAGGCGTCCTGTGACCTTTGGAACAGCAGGAACATTTGGCTGCTTGAACCTCGAAACGGCGAAGCTTCCTGTTGAGCTCCGTCAAGTTCTGGGTCATGCGCATGCCAATGAGGGATTGACACGGGTAGGTGAAGAGAAATATCACGAAAACACTGATGCTGCACAGCAACACCGTTGGGAAGAAATTTTGGGCATCCCCAGTCCCGAGCGCGATGAACAAGATCATATTCCGAACGGCAAACCACCAAGCAAAGTGCACCAACAACAACAAGGGAAGCGCCACAGGGATTGCTTGCACTGGCCTCTCTCCGCGGTGAATTCGCATGAACGTCGCAAACTCGTAGACACACCAAACACGGTCAATGTAGGATTCAGACCACAAAATCACCAATTTCTTCGAATGTTTCAAGAATCCCGCCAGTCCAAGAATGCACGTTTCTTTTGCTCTCTGGTCTTCCTGTGGTATAGTCAGCTTGTCGAGAAACGCCAACCTTGGCCTGAGGAACAGATCTCGAATGTCTTGCCAAAAAACCAGGAAAATCACAAAGACTAGGTAGCCAATGGATATCGCCCAACCAGTCTGAGGCAACACCTTGTACTGGATAAGCAAGCCTGCCGCTGTGCTAAATAGTAATGTTGCAACCGCAGCAGCTTTCACATTGAAGAGCAGAAGCAGAGAGCCATACTTCAACCAATGAGATGTCTGCCAGTCATGACTGATGAAAGCATCAAAATCTAAACATTGCCTTAAGTTCCTGCGACCCACAGAGGAATCTTCCGCTTTGAAAGGTCTTCCAGCCCTGGCCAAAAGGTAGCGGAAAGGGATGCCTTGGAGAAACTCTGACGGCACCTGGTGAGACAAACTCCTGCTGGAATCTTGCTGAAATCTTGGTGAAACTGGCAGCCGGCTGTTGTGAGAATCAAGATCCTGATCCTCATCCATCACGGAAACGCGGCACTGAACCAAGGTAAGCAAGGCAGATGTCTGCTTCTCAATAGTAAAAAAATGTGGGGATCCAAAAAAAGGGGGTACCAATGGACCCACAAGATTGAATATGTTTATTAAACTGCAAGATTTTTTGTTGGGGGTATGTTGGGGTCATTCATTTTTGAGTCACAAAGAATTTGACTTTTGGTGAGATACTGGTGTCAACCACTTGAGCCTGGGGCCTGGGCACGTAGAAACACAACCGCATATCTGTGAGCCATGTAGAGTGAATCTACATAGTGAGACATTACCTACTGTACATGTCCAAATAAATGGAGATGTTCTCCCAATTTCTATGATCCTCCTGCATTGCTATCATGGAATCCCTACTGATTCTCCGGCGTCAAATCCTGGTCACGTGCTTGGGTTGCATCACTGCTGAGATAGACTCATACACCGGCCCAAAGTGACACACACACACACAATTAGGCACAAACAATTAGACACAAAGAATCTAGAGGTATCTACATGGATATACCAGCGTATGCCCACGCAAATGAACATGCTGGAACTCACGTAAAGATCCCAACTATCAACCCCATTGCTCGGCTCCGAGCCCGTTATTCCATATTGTTTTGTTGGTGAACTATGAACTCTCTATGTATTACTCGGAATCTTTGGGTTTGTCTTAATGTTGGGTAACCCTGAATCCATTGAAACCCATGTTCAAATATTTGAACATGTTTTTTTAAGTGCACAATCAATGTTTCACAGATAACAGCCCAACATACATTTTAATAAACGTGCATGTATTATGCATAATAATAGCAATAATAATAATAACCTTCAAGTATTGAACCAAAGGATTCAAAGGATTGCGTTTTGCCTTTCAACTGGTTCATTTGTTTGCCAAAATCGGAAACATGAGCCCCAATGTATCATAATCATTCCCAACATACGATCCATTATTTATACATTGCATCAGTACGTGACGATTTTTTCAGCTGCTTCGCATCAGTTGCGAGTCCTTTCAGTAGGGGCTGAAACGCATAAACCTGAGCAAAAAAAACACGTCGATAGTTATTGGGTGAGGTGACTCCAGGGGATGTACACATGGGTGATACCTATCATATGTAAGGTTTATAAAACAATTTCCCAATTAATTTATGATCATTAACTTACGTTTTTGGTTGCAAGGATCATTGATGCATCTGCAATGGAAATAACCGGTGGTTGTTCGTGATTGTTATGGTTTTATGTCTTTGCATGCTCAGCCTGAAAACCTTGATAACAATCCTTGTTCTCCTGTTGGGCATTGGTCAAGATTGTTGGATTCCCCCAAAAAAAGGTGGTCTCAGAACCTAATAAAGGTCAATTTGTTGGGTCCATTGGTACCCGTAGTTTTTTTGACCCAAACTCATGTCTTGTCTGTGTTTGAAGACAAGTTCTTATCAAAATTTCTCAACACATACACAAAATTATGTACAGTTACACATGAATGTATGCATTAAAAAACAACATGTATGTATATATATATATATTGTGAACTGTGTTGGCTTGTTTATTTGCCATTTCTGTCAAATCCAGACACCATTTCTTGCACAGGTAGAAACCATTCACTAAATACCAGAAGCCATTTGCTAAATATTAGGAATCATTTGCTAAATGCTAGAAATCATTTGCTAAATGCTAGAAACCATTTGCTAGATAAGTAGAATATGTAAAACCAGTTGCTAAGGAAAGTAGAACATCTAGAAACCATGTGCGAAATCATGTTGATTCACCAGGAACCGTTACTTAAATCATCTTAAATCAACGGGTAATATTTGCAGGTAAAGGTTGTTATTGTCAATAACCATCAATAACTTATTGACCATGTTTTCAGGGTAAACCTATTCAACCTTGGAACAGTCATTTGCAAATAGTAGTAGTTGGTGCTGAGAAAGAACCAATGTCTTTACCCCACATGCCAGTTCAATAGTACCAGCGCCTCCTTCACTCATGGTTCACCACAGTGAAACTGTTGACGCTTAAAACTTGAAACCATCTAGAATCCAGTTGGGAGTACTATCAGTAATGCTGTTTCAATCCAGGAAAGGGATGGAAAGGGTGTATCAAACAGCAACAAAAGCAGGGCATACTCTGTGCCCGATGCAGTTTGTGCCAAAAGCGCCATACAACATTGCGAATACTTCCGCGCGCGATACCGACAAGTTTTGGGATCGAAAAAATGCTCCCCAAACAAAATCCATGTGGCCGATAGCCTTTGCGTGGGTGAGTTGGTGGATGTTGTTGACCGGGTTTTGCCACATGGCATTTTTGACACTTCAGAGGATACAGGGATTTCCCCCATAAGTCGGAACTGGTGTGTGCTTGAACTTTTTCTCTATCTGCCCAGGTCTGTCATGGGAGCCTGGAGAGCCCGGTTTCTTCGGGAGCCTACCAGCTTAACCCTCCTAAAGTGTAAATATAAAGGAAACTATTTCTTAACCGTATGTCTTAAATCCTAGAAACTATTTTTCTTAAACCATCCACCGGATCTGTTCTTGCAAGCCCTCGATCAGAGCGTCTAAGTTGAAGACCAGTATCTCGACCTGCGTGAGTCTGAGCGCCAACTCGTGACCACCATCTGCGAGCTTCTGCAGCTGCGATTGTATCCATCGAAAATAATCAGCCAGCTGCCCAGTCAAATAATGTAGTTGAAAATCGATGTTGGTCATAGAGCGGAAAAGATGCTGGCAAGAGGCGCGAGCAGAACCGCCTGACTCCAACCAGCCAGGGATCACCACCCAAGAAACTCTTTCCTAAATCCTAGAAACTATTTCTTAAAACCTAGAAACTATTTCTTAAATCCCAGAATCGGTTTCTTAATCTGGGTCCCGAGCCCAGAAACTATTCACAACACCAGGTCTGCTTTCACCAATCCCAACTATTGGACAAGGATAGCAGTCAATCACTTGAAGTCCAGAGATTGCCTCGCACAAGTGAACCATGTTCTCACCACGAGAGAAAGGCTGCCAGGCTGTGAGTGCAGGTGTTCTTTGTTCTTTCTCGTTCTATGTTTGTAGACTCCTCATCTCAGAATCAGAAACTGTTACTTTCTTACTTTTCAGTCAGTTTCCATACTAATGTCTATATTTGTCAACTTGAGTTATATTCATCTTTGATGATTTAGAGCAGAAAAAGGGTATGACAGAAACCGTTTCAAACCGTTTCCGACTACTTTCTAGGTAATAGTCCGAAACCGTTTCAATATGTTTCCTGCTACTTGCTACTTCGCTGTGGCAAAAACCCACATTGTTTCAAACAGTTTCAAATTGTTTCAAGTTTCAAATAGTTTCTAAGTATGGCTAATTAGCAAAGAGTCCGACACCGTTTCAAACGTTTCATACTACTTACTAGGTAGTAGTCCGAAACCGTTCCAAGCAGTTTCAAACCAATCCCCTAGAAGGCCTAACTTACATTACTTTTTAGTTTTTTGATAGTAACCTTTTATTTTACAAGATATTGTTTAAAAAGTTTCTCAAACTTGGATTTATTTAGGAAATAGTTTCTATAAATTGGGTTTATTTAAGGAATAGCTTCTGGCCTCCACAGACAAAGAGGCGAAGGCATATATATATATATACATACATACATACATAAAATTGATTATATATATATATACAGGCATACAAAACTATATTTGTTCATGTTACATTATGCACCTGATTTCTTTGTGCATGGAGATTTGCAGGCCATGTCGTGTCGCATCCCATTTCGCTCGATGATTTGCCGGAGGGTACCCTTTGAGATTCTTTCGTGGCAATGCGCAAAATCCATCAGTTGCCCATCGAATTAGAAGACATTAGGTTGGAATGGGGCTGTTTGGTAATGTTGTGAATTTTAGGTTGGTTACCTTCTTTATTCCCCACCTGTCAGGTGAGGGTTGTTGGATTTTATGTCAGCTGTCCCGCCGGACCCGAATAGCAAGCCCAGGATCAGAGTGGTGCCTGCCGGACCTCTCGCAGTATTCCCTCCCAAAGCCCCGGATCAGAGTGGTCCCCGCCGGAGCTCAACTGCAAGGGATAGATCACAGTGGTCGCCGCCGGACCCGAACAGCAAGCCCCGGATCAGAGTGGTCCCCGGCGAGTGGTCCCCGCCGGACCCGAACATCAACCGCTGGATGAAAGTGATCCCAGCCGGACCTCAGCTGCAAGCGCTAGATCGCAGCGTTCCCCGCCGGACCTCAACCACAAAGAATCTCCGAAGATATAGCAGATAGAATGCCAGAAAGAAATGTCCGAAGATATGCCAGATACATATGCCAGAAAGAATGCCAAAGAAAATGTCAGAACATATGCTAGAAAGAATGCCTGAAAAAAATGCCAAATAGAATGTCAGAATAGATGCCAGATAAAATGCCAGAAAGAATATCAGAATATGTGCCAGAAAGTATATCAGCATAGATGTCAGATAGAATGTCAGATACAACGCCAGACAGAACGTAAAAGTATATGCCAGAAAGAATGTCAGATAGTGTCAGATGGAATGTCAGAATAAATATGCCTTATTATGCCTTATATATATATACTTCCAGATGGTACTGTATGTCAGAAACTATGTCAGAATAGTGTTTCAGGGTGGGGATCACTCAAAGAAAGTATTTCTTTTTTAGGTTGGCATTTTCCTACTAAAGAGGGGGCTGTCCCACGGCCATGTTTCATTCAGGATTGAAACGAGCAACTCGAAGACCTCTTCCTGGAAAAAAAAAGGGATCTCACGCGGCATCAGTTCAGATAGATTTAGGAGGGTTCCCAAAACAAGTAAGCTCGATATATGCTTTGATATTTGCGTGAGACATCGGTATCTACTATAATATCCCAATATAGCATCTAATTAGGGTATCTAAAAATATAATGTCAAATGGTGTAGTGCTCGGCTCCTTTTTTTTTGTCCTGGCTCCGATTTTGTGAGTTTTTTTTCCCGGACCAATTGAGTATCTTGCCGTTTGTCGGGGGTGGTGCCCTGTTGTCAGAAGTTTTTTCTCGGATCCATGTTTTTTCAGGAGGAGCTTTATCCACCTTTCTTTGGGTAAAGCAGGTCCATTTACTTTAGAAAACCATATCCATGTTAAAGCCTTGAAAATGCAAGGTTCCCCAATTTTTTAGATGCCTTATTAAACCCTTTTTAAAGAACAGCACCCAATTTTTTTCAAGGGGGTACCCCATGACGGAGACCCTCAATAATGTAATTGTTTGGATGGTACCCTATTCTGCACAAAAACTTTCAGCGTGATTGTTTTTAGATTTGAAGGAAAACCAATTGAAAGTAGATTCAAATGAATTGAAAGTAAATTGATTTCAATTGAAATCCTTTCTTATCAATGGATTTCTTTGATGTTTAAAAGGAAAATCAAGTGAAAGTAGATTCAATTTAATTGAAAGTAAATTGATTTCAATTGAAATCCTTTCTTATCAATAGATTGCTTTGATGTTTAAAAGGAAGATCAATTGAAAGTAGATTCAAATAAATTGAAAGTAAGTTGATTTCAATTGAAATCCTTTCTTATCAATAGATTTCTTTGAGGTTCAAAAGGAAAATCAAGTGAAAGTAGATTCAATTTAATTGAAAGTAAATTGATTTCAATTGAAATCCTTTCTTATCAATAGATTTCTTTGATGTTTAAAAGGAAAATCAATTGAAACTAGATTCAAATGAATTGAAAGTAAGTTGATTTCAATTGAAATCCTTTCTTATCAATAGATTGCTTTGATGTTTAAAAGGAAGATCAACTGAAAGTAGATTCAAAAAATGAAAGTAAGTTGATTTCAATTGAAAACCTTTCTTATCAATAGATTTCTTTGAGGTTCAAAAGGAAAACAAGTGAAAGTAGATTCAATTTAATTGAAAGTAAATTGATTTCAATTGAAATCCTTTCTTATCAATAGATTGCTTTGATGTTTAAAAGGAAAAACAAATGAAAGTAGATTCAAATAAATTGAAAGTTGAAAGTAAATTGATTTCAATTGAAATCCTTTCTTATCACTGGATTTCTTTGATCTTTAAAAGGACAATCAAGTAAAAGTAGATTCAATTTAATTGAAAGTAAATTGACAATTGATTTCAATTGAAATCCTTTCTTATCAATAGATTTCTTTGATGTTTAAAAGGTAAATCAATTGAAACTAGATTCAAATGAATTGAAAGTAAGTTGATTTCAACTGAGATCCTTTCTTATCAATAGATTTCTTTGAGGTTCAAAAGGAAATTCAAGTGAAAGTAGATTCAATTTAATTGAAAGTAAATTGATTTCAATTGAAATCCTTTCTTATCAATAGATTTCTTTGAGGTTCAAAAGGAAATTCAAGTGAAAGTAGATTCAATTTAATTGAAAGTAAGTTGATTTCAATTGAAATCCTTTCTTATCAATAGATTTCTTTGAGGTTCAAAAGGAAAACAAGTGAAAGTAGATTCAATTTAATTGAAAGTAAATTGATTTCAATTGAAATCCTTTCTTATCAATAGATTGCTTTGATGTTTAAAAGGAAAAACAAATGAAAGTAGATTCAAATAAATTGAAAGTTGAAAGTAAATTGAGTTCAATTGAAATCCTTTCTTATCACTGGATTTCTTTGATCTTTAAAAGGACAATCAAGTAAAAGTAGATTCAATTTAATTGAAAGTAAATTGACAATTGATTTCAATTGAAATCCTTTCTTATCAATAGATTTCTTTGAGGTTCAAAAGGAAATTCAAGTGAAAGTAGATTCAATTTAATTGAAAGTAAATTGATTTCAATCGAAATCCTTTCTTATCAATAGATTTCTTTGAGGTTCAAAAGGAAAATCAATTGAATGTAGATGGATTTCAATTGAAACCCTTACTTAAGTTGATCATCCTGAGTCCCCCAGACCTGATCACCAAGAAAATTGCGAGTTATTGATAATATGGTGATATTCAGGCATTAAATTTGGATTATATTCACTTACACTTGCGCTTATGGAGCAATGAAATTCGTGATCATTAGCATTATCATGTTCATTATAATATGTGGATATTCATGTTATATATATATCATTATCATTACATTCATTATATTCATTATAATATCATGATATGAGGCATTATTCATTATATCATTATCATTATCTGGTTGGTGGTTTCAAGCCCTCTGAACAATATTAGCCAGTAAGGATCATTATTCCCAATATATGTGGAAAACAATGTTCCAAACCACCAACCCGACTATATCACTATCATTATATCACTATCATTATATTCATTATATTCATTAATATATCATGATATTAGGCATTATTCATTATATCATGGTGATTTATAGTGGATTTACCCATTAAAAATGGTGATTTTCCATAGCTATGTAAACGTTTACCAGAGGGTATTCATTATACCATGATCATTATCGAGGGTACAGCCTAACTACACCTTACAAGATATGATACTCCCAAAACTCCGACACAACATAGCCGGATGAGCAGCCTACCCCAAGCCTACCCATGGTTGATCATTATATCACTATCATATCATATCATTATGTTATTATATTCCATTAAACCACCATAAACCCTCATTAAATCACCATTTTCCTATGGTTTTCCTATGGTTTACCTATGATATTATCATGATCATTATCCGAATATTCCAGGCATTGGAGCTATGACATCTGTGCCTTGGGATTTCAGCCCTGGCAACATCTGCGGGCCCATAGGAAGAAAAAATACGTCTGTGTAATATTAATATATCAAGAAAATATACATATTAATTAATATACTGTATATATAAGATATACCGTATATATATATATGTATATATACTATAATATTCATATTACCTATATATATATATATTATGTATGTATGTATGTAATGTAATGTAATGTAATGTAATGTAATGTTAATGTAATGTTAATGTAATGTATGTATACGTGACAAGTCTCAATTCATCCCTTAGCTCATATGTTACGCCACGGCCACCATGAGTGCCAAGGGGCCCTTGGGCTGCCTGCGGGGCCATCGAGGTGCGGCAGTAGATTGTATCATTCCATATATACTGGTTGGTTTATAGGGATTCCCTGTTCTTGGATTATTATCATCCCCAATATAGAAAGGGTAGTATGATCCCTAAACTAATCATCAACCAACAGGGGTTTTGAAGACTGCTCATATGAGGCAACTACAATATGGATAACAATACTGTATTGATATTAATATGTATGTACAGTATGTATGGATAGATGCATGTATGTATGTGATCATGTATGATATTGGATGTAAATGATCCAACTGTCATTTACTTGCCGACTTGTGCACAATTGCCCCCTTTGTTATACCACCACTTTTACTTGATGATTGGCTGGTTACCAAGTCCCACAAATTAATTACGATCGAGAACATCCAGATGAGGTTTCAAAGCTTCACTTTCAGCAAGTTTTAACGATTAAACCTTGCCAATTGTAGCCTAAACTTTGCTGGTCATGATATTGTTCGATCATACTGAATCACTCTGGCTGTTGAACAATTGTTTTGCCCGGCGCTTTTCCAGGTGGAAAAAAAACATGCAATTTCAGCTCCCGACATATTGTTGCGGTGACTGCAACGTCCTATCTTTTATATGGGGGTTTCCATAAATCGGGGATCCCCCAAATGAATGGTTAAAAATAGAAAATCCCACTAAAATGGATGATTGTGGGGTACTCCCATGACTTAGGAAACCTCCATATGGCCTGCTGCCGGTAGCTGGTATCCCCACACTGCCTGTTGCTGTTGATAGACTTGATAGCTGGGATCCATCATGCCGTAGGGTGTATATCCTCCTGGCATGAGAAGGATGCTTTTGAAACAAAAAAGCATAACCCAACTTACTCACCAACACGTCAGGTCACCGCCAACAAAAAATCAGCAGGCTATACCAGAGAGGATTTTGCCACGATCTTTTGCCGTGTTATGGGGCAATAGCAAGAGCTCAATTGATTCAATGGATTGGTGTTGGTAAATCTACTGGATGGTCGTTTATTGAATTCTGTGTCTCCCTGGGTCAATTAACGCAAGGGAAAACCATGGGAAACCTAGCCCAAACTAAAAGATTCAAATAGCGGGTGTGCTGCAATTTGTTCCTTCAAATTATTCGGAAAGCCATTGATTGTAACCCCCAAACAGAAGGGTCTCCTGCCAATTTTTACTTACGTTCGGAGATTAAACATATTTAAACATATTATGCATATATTATGATTGACTGGTCATCAAAAACTATGGTTCGCAATCACCCAACTGATCATCAATATTAACCATTATTAGCCATTATTAACCATTAAGAACCATTATTAACCACTATTAACCATTATTGATACCCGCCAATCGTTTTGTTTGTGCGATTGTGATCATCCAATTGATATCTGATCTCCGCCATCGAATTTGTTTTAGGCTTTTCTGAATAGTGGGGATTCATGCGGATATCACCATGTTACCCGGCCTGGTAAACGTTTACAGAAAACGAACTGGAAAATCACCTAAAATAGTAGGTACATCGACTACAAACAAACTATGTTATCTATTTTCAATAGCAAACTGTAAACGTTTCCTGGAGGCTACACCCTTCAAAAACGCGCCAAACGCGGAGTGGTCAATGCAACTTTCCTCCTCCATAAACGCCGGATTGCACCTCAGCGGAAAAGCAGGGTTCACATCTAAGGATTGTGAAACATATATGGGTATGGGTCATTAGGTACCCCAATAACATGTCGACTAATGATGGTTAATTACCCCAATAATTGATGATTAATACTAAATTTATAGTGGTTAATAACAATAATTGGATATAATTGGATGGTTAATACTAAACTAGACTAACATCTGTGGTAAAATTAAGGTCTTCCATTTTGACCCACATCCATCTAAAAATATGTCCATGGGAAGAAAATATGGCAAACTTATGAACAGTATTGAAAAGTCACAATCAATCCCAATCCCAATTTGCTGAAGGTTGGAAGGACTGCGAGCTTCATCTTGGTATCATTCGACTCTATATCCAACCAGGAAAGTCAGTGGGTAGCACATGGAAACCACCGCGTTTGCAGAACATGTCTCGATTCAGAATCGGTTTTCCTGTCAGTTCACAACAAATTAGCCACCATGATGGCAATTAGGATAAAGATTATCCGCCTAAAAGTAGAAAGTACCCTCTGGTAATTTAACATAGCTATTGAAAATGACAATTTATAGTTGCTTTAGCCATTAAAAAATGGTGATTTTCCAGTTCGCTATGTTAGTTTACCAGAGGGTAAATCCCATTAAATTCCATTAAACCACCATAAACCCTCATTAAATCACCATGTTCCTATGGTTTTCCCATGGTTTTCCTATGGTTTTCCTATGGTTTTGACTAATCTTAACCATGCAATCTTGACTAATCATGACCCAGTCGAGCCCACCACAATAGTTAGTGATAATTCTGATAGTAAAACAACATAACAATATGGTACATAGTAAGCATAGAACATACCGGTATATATATATATAGTTTATATATATATATAGATACAATAAATATTATAATATATTATGTTATATCATATTATACTATATTGTATTATATTATATTATATTATAATATATATATGTTTCCAATAGTAACACTGCACGACGGGTTGGGGCACTGCTCCACTGGGCCTGCCGGACCATGTTTCCCATAGACTGCTGATATCCGCCAGCCGAGTTCATGCCCTGCCAGCCCTTGCCCATTGCTTTGCCGTCGCCTTGGAAGCGACGGACTACTTTGGAGGATCATCCCACTTACTAAGTGGTTAGGAATAGTAAGCATTATGTAAGCATTTTTACATAAGGGATAACGGTGGATAACCACTTATTTATAAAGGACCAGGGATACTAACCGGTTACCGGTTACTGGGATGGTCCGCCACAAGTAGGCCATCCAATTTTGGGATCGGCAGCGATGTTGCTGCAAGATCTCATCTATATGCATACATCAAAATTTCCTCCAGCTGGGGTCACAAGAAACAAAACATAATGCACATGCGCAACGAGAAACTAAATAAAACTATCAATTCTATGTCATTGCTACTGGCTACCCCTGTGGATGAACAAGATCACACCCTATAAGAATGGCACTGATACATCCATACACATATTACATATATAGATACTTATCTATATATAGGCATGTATTGTGGAAGAACTGTTGGCTTCAAGTCTTGTGTGTATACGGTACATATCCAAGTTTACACATCAGGCAACAAGAAACTACGAGGACCTGAAAGCAAACCCGCCAAACAGCTGACACAATTTAATTTGGTAGAAAAATGCCAAAATACGATCAGTTTTGGTATGAAATATTGTATTGTATTGAGCCAATGAATATCAGAGAAAAAAAAATGACCGGTTGCGCAATGCTCAAATGATAGGGTTGTGTTTGCTTCTATGTTGCATGTCTTTATAGCAAGCGTGAACAAGAGGAAATAGCACTTTTGATTGACAGAAGATTTCATTTTATCCCCAAGCAGTACTGCATCTTCCTGACAGAGCTCCCTGCATCATGAAGAGATATGGAATGTTTTGCAAGGGTAAGCATACTGTTCCCTTGAAAAATGCTGCGTTTTTAAACCCTAGTACAGTATCAACTCAGATTTTAAGGGCAATAGCATGCTTCTCATAAGTCATCGTCGACAATCTATGTAAAAGAATGTGGCATTCCTTGAGGAAGTTGTGGCATACCTCTATGCAACATTCTTCAACAGAGGGGGCACCATTCCTTTGAGAAAGTGTAACGCAAGATCCTGAGATGTGCATAGCATTCCTTTAGAACAAGTGCATTTTGTCTTCCATATATTTTAATAAAAATATATCATTCCTTCCATAGAGGTAGTAGTCCTTTTAGAGAAGGGTGGCATTTTTTGAGATATAATTTGCATATACAGCATATACATTAGTGTTTTTCAAAAAACGGCATTCCTTTCAAACAGTACTTGATGGCTTCATGAAATATTGATTTAAACAATGGTGTTATGGAATATTCCATCGAAAAAAATCATTTGGACAATACAATATCATTTTCAAATAACATAATTCACTGTATTATATGAAAAAAATATATATACACATTTATACACACTATTCCTTTCAAAAGTGTGTAGCATCCCTTGTGAAAGACACACAGCCGTCCTTGTGAAAGAGTATGGCTGAGTATGGCATAATGATTTAAGTTCGCGTGCAAAAGGGAACCCTTTCATATATATATATATATATATGTATACAATTATATACAACAATTCCTTTGAGAAAGGGTGATGTTTCTGTAAGAAAGCGCAATGCATGGAATTGCCATTTGAACAAATATAGTATTCCTTGCAGAAAGTATAGCATTATTTTGAAAGGGTATTCTTCAATAAGCAGTTGCGCTTCAAGAGACCATGGTATTTCTTGAGGACAGTGCAGCATGCCTTTATGCAAGTTTCCTTGAAAAGGATGCAACATATTTGTTCATTCCTTTGAAAAGAGGGTGGTGTTCCTTGCTCAGAAGAAAACTACACAAACAGCGCCACCACCTCCAGAAAATAGGAAATAAGGCCTTCGTCTTCTAGAAAATAAAAATCAGGTTTCCCCCCCAGAAAACACCAACAAAAATGAAAAAGATAGACATTTTAGTTCAGAGAGGTCCCTCTTAAGAGTCTAATTTTCTTTTTGACGATTGGTTTCTGCATGCCGACATGTGGAAACAAACACAACGAAATCCGGATTTGATCTCAGGGAAAGGCCGGAAGTGAAATTGATGAACACCTCGAGAAAAAAAACTTGGACTTGTAGGAGTAGCGCAGCGCAAGCTGCACAACTCCAAGCAGAGGAAATTCAACCAATTCCCGTTGGAAAACGGGTGTATCTGGCAGAGCTCGAAGCAGAATCTGATGCATTGGGGAATGCAGAAAATGGATGGGATTCGATGTCTTCATCATCAAGTTCACGACTTGTTTGCTTTCCGATGATTCTGAATTTTGGAGTTTTGGTTCTAGGCCTTTCGATTGTCACAGAAGATCTCGAGTGACTGCTTTCACTGTCAATGGCGAGACTTCTGTTGCAAATTGTGCGTGGCAAATTGTTGCATCTGTCTTTCCATTTCCAAGATCTACCACATGCTTTGCACTTGAAAAGACCTTCCTCAGGCCCAGGTTTCTTGCCTATTTTGTAATTCCATTCAAGATCATGGTTGCCACGGTTGTACTTCTGATTGAGTTCTTGAAAAAACTCGTTCGAGCCTGTGGTTATTATTGGACTTTCCTGGCTCTGCAATGTAATCTGATGGTTGGACGTGTTCAAATTCACAAGGTTTCTTGGTGATTTTTAACTTGATGTGACCCAAATCTTGCACGTGCTTACCGCACTTTTGACAAAATACACCTCCACCTTCTTTGAAAACAATGGAATGGCCATTTGCATCACGTGGGTGACGTCTATTCGAAGAGTGATCTGGGTCATCTGGTGGCTCATTTTGCAAATCAACAGCATGAAATCTCTGGATGTTTGTCTGCCATATTTTCACGAGTGTTGACTGCACTAAAATGATTTGATTTTGACTGAGGGGACTGTCATTCAAAAAGATACCGGCATACTGGGTTATAATGGGAAATTGTTGAATCTGATCGGCCAATTCATTCATCATGGGCTGACGTATGTCTTGAAAATGCAAGCATCTCCAACTGACATGTTCCACAGTAGCTGCTTCTCCTGAATTACAAGAACAGAGCCGAATATCTTGACGACGTTTGTGATGGCGAATTCTAGCTTCTGTGAGCAAGCCCCCGGCGAGGAGACGGCGCAACACTGCTATCTTCATCCATGCCTCTTCCTGTGTGAGCGACAAATCTGGCACATCACGACCGTCAGCCAAAACTTGGAGTTGGTCATGGAATTTCATAGTACGTACTCGATCAATTTGGGAGGCTCTGGCATGCGATCTTTCATGTTCGAGTTGACGAAGGAGATACATTCTCCAACATTCTCTCAAGTCATGCTTCCATAGAGCAAGGTTTTCGATCTGGTTTTGTACTAACTGACGCGTAGGTTGGCTTAATGGACCTTCAAGGATTTCATGGATTCTAGCACACGGTCCCACTTGGGAATTTACTTCGGAGTTGAAAATTCTCTGCACTGTTTGAGCACTCTGTGTACAATTGGCAATGCATCGCTGGAAGGCTAGCAAACCTGTATAAAGCCTAGCGAAAGTGGGCTCAAGCTGAACTGGTTCGAGAAGTGCGAACGGTAAAAGCGGTGACATTGAATAAAAGTCTTCATTCCAAAATGTTCGCATAAGCGCAGATCTCACGAGATTCAGCGCTCTCTGATCGTTGGGCAGCTGGTGAGCTCCTTGCCCCCATGTTGCTTGTGCCTGGGTCGCAATGAGAGTCTTGGCTTTAGCAGGCCACGACAAGGAAAGACGACGAGCTTTTATGACCGTGGCTTTCCAGGTCTGCAGCCTTTTAGTCTCTAGCTTGGTGAAAGAACCAGTTAAAAGATGCGAGACAACTGAAACACCGACTAAGCGAAAATCATTTAAATGCTGGAAGTCAGGTGCCACTTGACTTTGGAGACAAGAATCACCAAAGGTGAATGTCTTTTTGACGCTGATATCGCCTAGTCCGCAAGACTGATATGTATTGACAATCTGGTGAAAATTCTGAGTGCGAAGGAGGAGGTCCTCTTTGCTCTTGGATGACCCAACACCGCTGATGTCATCAGCATAGGCTCTACCAGTGAGACAAACTGGAATGCTGTCAGCTTTTTCTAAGATCACTAACCCTATGTCTCAACCAATCCTGGACCTCCATTGACTTGTTTTTTTTGGTTATTGTTTTTGTTTTGTTTTGTCGTTTTTGTTGTTTTTTTTTATAGTGCGATGCCAAAGCAGAAGAGCAATGTGCAGACAGCATTGAAGAAATTAATTGTGTTTAATGGTTTTGCCAATAAAGAGAATGCTTTGCCCAAAGTCCCAAAGTAGCGCATGTAGCACACTCCCCTGATCCCCTGTTCTGTATTTTTAAGCGTCAAATTATCTAATGCCAAGAACTTTCGAATTCCGCTGCATATTTCAGCTACACAACAGGGTTCTCAAGATTGGGATATAAGCATCCAATATGTTTTCAAGATGTATCTCTCTCTCTCTCTATATATATATATTATAATAATACAACATCATTCTATATCCATATCATCCATGTTTCAACCTGTTGCAAGTACATTTACCTGCACTACGATGTCACATGAACGCCCCTGAACGGTTCATGTTGGACAAGATCACCTGTTCGGAATTCAACATGAAATCCATTGACACCCGAACTGAACAGGGTCATGTTCCATGTTTTTCAATGGGAAACTCATACCACTATTAAGCATTATTAAGCATTCTCAAGCATTATTAACCATCATCAACCAGTATGAAGTATTATCAACCATTACTGACCAGTTAAAACCGACCATTCACCCTTCGGTTTCTCGTGCCATTGCCTGTCGCCGAGTCGCTTTTTCGTGCCATTGCCTGTCGTGGATGGATACATTGAATCCCATATTAGCTCACCATGGTGCTGGAATAGTTACTAATATTTGCCCAAAAGTTCAAAATCACCTAGTTTTGAAGGTATACCAGCACCATGGTGAGCTAATATGGGAATGTTGGGATACACATATTTCATCATATTTTCCATATAATTCACGTGGAGATGAAAAAGAACCACGACATGTATTCATCAACATGTTTCCAATATTCAAAGGTTTCATGATGATTTTCGCTCATCTTAGACAGCCAACTCTTCAATCGCTATGTATACTTTTGCGCCTGCGATTTGATGCGCCAAATTTTGGTCAACAGAGCCGACAGAAATTTCCTAATTCACCCAATGGCAAGCATAAAAAACACCGATGTCAACACATTTTTGTGCGGATTCAAGCAATCCATGAAAAACCGATTTTCAGTTGCTGACAAATGACATCCATTTGACAATCATGACCATCTATAAAACAACAAATCCCTGCTCATTGATGCCATTCCCGTGGTTCATAGTGGGGAGGATGGGTGAAAAACTTTTAAAATACCCTGGTAATTTAACAGTTTGCTATTGAAAATTGCCATTTATAGTTGATTTATCCATTAAAAATGGTGATTTTCCACAGTTATGTAAACGTTTACCAGAGGGTACCGTATAAATGGCCCATATGGCAAGATGAACATCCATAAATCCATCCATAAATCCATCCAGCTATGGCCATGGAAGATCCACCGATGTTCTCCCATTGACAGCATTGATTTTTCTGGGTAAGTTATGATCTTTCACTCACCTGAAATGTAACGGGCCATTTGAGGATGATAAAAATCAATGCAACGGGCCTGAGGATAAACATGATGGATTTCCCGGTTTTGTTTCATCCTACCCATCATTCCGTTCGGCTTCGGGAGAACAGCCATGGCCGGAAAATCTCAACAATCATTGGGCGCAAACGAAACCTCCATGGCCATCATGGATCCCATGGATATGTCCCATGGATTTTCCACTGGCTGGCCATCAATCTGGGTATATCATCATTCCGACGTGAGGTCGCGACTTGTCTTGTCATCGGAAAACTATAAATTACCCATGGAAATCATCGAATAATATCATTTAATAGCCACTATAAATGGATACAGTATCATATAACCGATAATCATTCCAGATAATGGTTCATATTTTTCATATTTCAATGGCCATCAATTGGTTATAAGATGTTATAAGATTTATAAGTTAGAACCCACATGGCCACAGGTTTTTCACTATGGAATACCCATGGAATTGCCACGCCTGGTCCACCGTGACCGAGGCGCCAGGTTTCACGAAGTGCTCCCAGCCCTGCTGAGTAACACGCTGAGCCCTGGGCTACCGCGCCAAAAGGGTGGATTTCACCGGCAAAAAACAGGAAAATCCATGGGAATTTTTTCAGCAACACCAAGTGGGATTGAACCTGGGAACATGGATAATCCATAAATTAGCCATTATCAGTAAATGATCCATAAATTATCCATAAATTTGAACCCGTGAGCATGGATAATTTATGGATAATTTACTGATTTCATCACCAGAAAACCATCGCAGTTTAGACCCACATATGGCGATGGCTAGGAAAAGCATCGGAACATGCGGTCAATTTCTGAGAAAGTTGGCTTCATTGAGTGGGGAAAATCGTGCGAATCAAAAAAGTTGGCTTCTAAACCCCATGATTCCCAGTATAAGCATAGTATAGCGCATAGTTATATCTAGTATAAACATGTACAAACTATAGTTAACCCGCACCAAACTTATCCCGCACGGCCCCTGTAGCTGGGGGGAGATGAACCTGACAAAGAAAATGCCATCGAATCCAGACATGCACTGCTTGGTGGTTGACCTACCCCTCTGAAAAATATGAAAGTCAGTTGGGATCATTATTCCCAATATATGGAAAATAAAAGTCATGTTCCAAACCACCAACCAGTGCAAAATGATGCAAAATGTATCATCGCCTAACTTGCCTCAGTTTTTGTGGAGCTCGTTGTATTTTTTGATCTGGGAAAATCGCTGTCGAATTGAATCCCGATGTGACTGGGATGTGAGTGGATGAGGTAAGAGTATGCCTGCATCATACAGAAAATTACAGAAATCCTACATGTAAATATAGATAGATAGGTAGATGGGATGGGGATAGGTCATCCCACAGCCCATAAAAATCGGATTCCGAAGAACTCACCGCTTCTCATGACCTGTCGACATCCCAATATATTCCCATTGCAAGGTGAACCCCACAGTTACAGTAGTTGGTTTATAACCCCCCTGATATAACTATAGATAACTATAGTTACATTATTTACAGTATAATCATCATGAATTATATCCACCTTAAATCCAACAGACAACGTAAACAAAACCAACTCAACTATCAAACTATCTATCCAGGGGGCCCCAGTTCTTCCCATTGAATGCCCGCGCGAGATCAGAGGGCCCCGACACCCCAGGAACTTTGAACTGCACGAAAGCGATGCGTTGAGCTGTGCGGTGAGCTCCCTGAGATCGTGGTAAAAAGCTGAGGGATCTATAGCTCAATATCCATGGTATCCTGGTGTATACGTGTACATCAGTGTATATACTGAGATTAATGTGTATACACATATGATATCATAATATACGTCGATACGTATATTGCAGTCATACTATGCCTTCACACGCATGAAGAAGAACCGGGCAAAGCAATTAGAAAAACTAAAGCACCTGGGCACCTGGGCAGCCAGAGATTTGTCCATAACTGGGGGTGTACCCCAGTTATGGCTATCCAATAACACATGCTGGCATAGACAAAAAACCGTTGGCTGCTTCGTCTGTTTTTGCATCGCAAAACAAATCAGAATACAGAAACCCCAAAATGCTAATCCCTTGCCCTCCAAAAGAAAAAAAACACCTCCCCAGAAGCCGTATTTTCCGTGAGATTTACCACACCTTTGGGACCTATCAGGACCCAACAAACCCATGAACTGTGCGCCACTAACAGGGGCATGGGATTGATACCAATATCCTATGGGAATTTAACCCATTGGTACTATAATGTACTATATATACCCTCCAGTAAATGCACATAGACCCTGCCAGATGGGGGTTGGAAGATTAGTTTCCGTTGCACATTTTGCTGATTTTCAGGGTTGAACTGTTTATTTACCAGAGGTAGCTGATATGACCCATTGAGTAAATAAACAAGAGTTAATATATCCCATTAGAGCCATTAGATGTTGTTACTAGCTTATATACATTTTTCTCTATCCCATAGTCCCATTCATGAGTTATATATTTTACAACAGCCATTTCTGAACAGCTGGATCACCCCAGCTTGCAACCGCTACAAATGTGCCTTGCCCGGCACATAGACGTCATCCAGTTCGCCGTACTGCCCAAAATAACCTTCCAATTCGACCTCGCGAGGACATCGGGGATATGTTTTTTCAGATTCCTTGCTGATATACATGGAACATGAACCTAGGGTAAAATGGGTAAACTAACATCGAAGCGGAATGGTAAACCATCATTTTTGATAGGTAATACATCCAAAAACGGGCCATGTTCCACATCTATGTTAGTTTACCCTAGGGTATGTAAAGTGATATAAAATGACAAACGTGTGTAAGAAAACATGAATTGCAATACCATATCCTTCAACAGACAGACTCCATGGGGAGTTCACATTTATGAACAGTGCTAACCAAGTTTTTTTCCGTGGCCACCTGTGGGCTATACCTCCCACTGTCAATCCATGCTCTAGGTATTGGGTATTGCATGGTAGTGCTGTTAGGTATGTGAATATGTATATATAATTATATAGATATGTAATGTACGTATAATATCGTATAATTGCAATTTTTGTCAAACTAAAAGGAATATTTTTTGGAAACTGAGGTATCCATATACATATACAGACATACATATAATAACATGTATCTAAGTCCTAAGCCAGTTTAAGCTACAGTAACTCGAAGAACCATCCCACTGGAAATACAGCATAAAATACCAACCATAATGTTCTGCTGCAGTTCTGCTTGATATCCCCTTATCTGTAAGATTAAAGGATATCAAGCATGGTGCTGGTATATAAAAACCTACAAAAAACTGGGTGATTTTGTTTGGGCAAATGTAGGTCAATATTCCAGCACCATGGTTCGCATATGGCTATTACTCTTTATACAAAAAAAAATAATGTAGGTCAATATACCATACATGGAGTATATGGCTATTACGGTATTCTTCTTTATACACCTATAATGTCAAAGATGCACAAAAACCCCTGCCCCATGGGCCCCCGGTGAGATGTGCACCCGAAAAAGGACCGGATCTCACCTTGGTGATCTCGGGATGGATTTTGGTCACGAAGAGTCGCCCGGGCACAGTCCTAACGCTGGGTTTTAGGGGGCCACTGGGGTGGCGAACGCGGTGGATTTTTCGGTCCGGTCTTTGTTCTTTTTTTTTTCGACCATCATAACAGTTGGCTATCTAACTTTTTAGGATTTATAACTAGGGTATATCATAACATATCATAACTATGTTCCATGAGCTAACAAAAACACCAAGAAACATCAGCCTTTTTTGGGCCAAAAAATACCAGCAGCAAATCATAAGGCCCCACAGGCTGATGTTTATCCCTTGGTATCCCCTCGCTGAAAAAGGTATCCGAATATCTACATAGCTGGCCCTTAACCACAGCTATCTATATCTATAGATATATTATATTATATTTCCCATAAAGCCTACAATGTGAGAACCCCAAGATAGCTAAGTTGGTTTATAACTCCAATAACTATGGTTTATGGATGTTTATGGTACGCAAATAACTATAGTTACTGGGGCTTATAAACCAACTTATAACTGGGGGGCCTCACATTGTAGTGATTGCAGTTTACAACCAACTTAGCAATCTGGTGGGCTATAATCGGATATCATAGCTGTGGATCCATCCCCGAAGAACTCTGCATGGATTGGATCTCACCTACAAGAAGATCCTAAACGGCTGGATGTGGAAGGCCTGAAACAGGTTTCTCGGATAGAGACCAGGCTTCTGAACAAATGCATAAATCATCATAAATCTGCCCTAAAATCTGTGAGTTCAATGAATTTCCAGTAGACTCAGTAGATGGATGAGATGATTGGAGACATGTTTTTTTTTTTTAAATCTCATGTTGATCATCGTTTTCACCATTCCAACAGCAATAAACCACCAGGGTGTCGTTTTCCCATGTTTGGATAAACAAAAACATGAGCAGTGGCTGAGCCCTCGGTCATTTAACGTGAAAAATTGAAAAATCCTGATGGGTTTTTTACGGGGTTCAACCAGTTTTAATGGATTATGATAATCCACCATGTCACCATGTATATATACCCTCTGGTTATTTAACATAGCCATGGGAAATTGATTTTCCATGGCAAACTGTCAAATAACCAGGTGGTATATATACATCACCAGTGTATTAGCCCCCAAAAATCATCAACCAACAGATCACCCCCACGAAAAATCAGTGCAGGGAGAAAATGACGAGGCTCTTTGGTGCCACTTCCGGCTGGGACATGCCTGGCGACCAGAAATCGGGGAACAATGGAGCACAATTGGCTCACCTTCTATATTTACCCTCTGGTAATTTAACATAGCTATTGAAAATGGCCATTTATAGTGGATTTACCCATTAAAAATGGTGATTTTCAATAGCTACGTTAAATTACCAGAGGGTAGTCCTCGTTTTTCTGGGATTTTTCATGTTATGAAATAAGCCATTCCTAGATTTTCTGGGTTAGAAATAAGCCCACCTTGAGGTGATATCTCCATTGCTAACCAAAAAGAGCTCTAACCTGTACCAGGGCGGCTAAATCAAATCACTTTGTTGATATAAAATGGCAATTGCGTAGGCTATTTCAATTTACTCTCCAGTGTCAGACACTGTGGTGTAGAAAAACATATGGGCAAATAAAGCTCCCCGTTTTTTTGGTATTCCTTCTAGTGATCGCGAAAGGCACAGGTTCACCCAGTAGATTCCCGTATGGACCCACTACTTGCGGGGCTTCATTGGCACAACATGTAGTAAGTATATGCTCCATGGTGCTGGAATATTTACCAACATTTGCCCTTGTCCAAAATCCCCCAGTCAATTGTAGGTTTTTATATACCAGCGCCATGGTTCGCATATGGGATGTAGTGCCATGTGTAAAAAAAACAATATCTATGGAGTGGACCGAAGTTTGATCCACTACACCTGGGTTGATACGCAACGATTGCATCAAGTTACTCAGAAAACCGAACCGAACCGTGGCATTTGTTCGAACCCATCGGAACCCGACGAACTGTAAAAAAGAAAACCCAGAGCTGTGGTTTGTTCAAAGTCAATGTTTCTTTTGGCTAGTGGCTACAGTAATTGTATCACGGAAGGCAAATGATAACGATTCAGATGCCTGACGACGGATCATTAGGCGCACAAGGGGGTCAAAGACCGCTATGTACATGGCGAATCTGCCTCAAAATGGCTCAACATGGCTCAACTACATTCAGTGAGAAGAAACCCGACCTCAAACGCATGCGGGGGGAAGTCCTCCTAAAAATGAGTGATTTCCGGGAGGTCCTGATGGCCTCCTGGGCGTGTCAAGAGCTTCCTGAATCCACGAATGTTTATCCTTTTCCCAATGAAAACTACCATCAGTTGGGGTGCATCCAATTGTCAGACAAAGACTTAAATCATCATATTGCTCGTTACATTGTGGTTATATATGATTATATATGGCACATGATATCCATATATGTATCCATACTATATCATATACATGTTACATATCCCATGATATCAACATCAAATGCTTGGTTTTACCATGGGTTTTATGCTCAAATCGGCCCGGTTCCCCGGTTCCGGCCTCCAGCTACCTGGACAGGATCTAAACAGCCAAGATCATCCAAGACATACGGTGGATGGCAACGCGAAATCGGAATCACCAGTTGATAGGTCCGGTGGTAAACATCTCACTATGTATAGGGTTTCAACATGTTTCAACCATCCGGTTGGTGGTGCAGGATTTCGCGTTGCCATCCACAGTATGTTTGTTATTTCGGTCAAATCCAAGATATCCAAGAAACACTCGGGGTCCATCATAGAAGCTGGGCAGGTGGCACAGAGGAGAATCTGTGGCTGTGAGGTACTACCCAGCAGCTTGAGACCAAGCTATGATCTCTTCCGCTCTCAAAATTATGGGCAAACCGATGTCCATTTCGGTTTAAAAAAACTCATTTTCCCCATTCAAGTGCTATTTTTATCGGGGGTATACAAAAACAATTTCGAAGCAAACCCGTAGTTTCAAAGCACGGCTTCGGCACAAGGGACCACTTGATACAAAAGTGGTGCTGTTTTTTTTCAAGCTCCGAACCATTTCAGGGTGGAAAAGCAAACAACGCAGACCCCCCGGATGGATAATTTAGTTTATTATATATATAATATTATATAATATTATAGATAGACATCTATAGACGTAGCGACCATAAGTCATGGTTAGCCTACATTATAGACCAACTTATCGGTCCAGGGGTCCCAGCTTGAAATATATAAAAAACACCAGCCGGTTGAAGAACCTTTCGACTCCACCTATTTCGAGCTAGCCGTATCATTCCAAACTAGTTGGCTGATTCTACCCTATCTATACCGTATTCTATACCAAATTATTGTTACCACACTTGATGTCAATCGGATTGCCATTTGTGTGGCAAATCCCTATCTTGCAGTCTTGCAGGAATCCCAAGCTCCTGGCATCTCCCATTTTGGTTGGCACTATCTGTAATTGAGTTGATGAAATGAGTTCAATCGCAGTTTCATGCTAGATTAGATATCCATAGATATCCCATTTTGCTTTCTAACATCCCAGTTTTTCTTGATCAAAGGACCCCAAAATTCATGGCACCAGCGCCTGCATTGCTGCCGCACCGGAACGCCTTGCTTTCCCATTCCCAAGTCACCAGCGGATGGGGGTAGAAACCAGTCATGGGACTAACTGACTTTTCATAAGTCATGGTACTTATAACTATAGTTCATGGTACTTATAACTATAGTTATTGGGGTTATAACCATTCATCTCTTTCTACCTGACTTTTCTAACCAGTCATGGTAGGTTTCTAACTGGGAATGGTAAGTTTATACCACCTATGATTGGGAATAAACCAGTCATGGGAGGTTCATTTTTCCTACTGGTTCTACTGCCATGACTACTTATTCCCAATCATAGGTGGTATGGTTACCATTCCCAGTCATGGTAGGTTTATGACATTGTTTTTTCCCACATTAGTTAGATATCCCATTATTATCCTTATTATTATCCCCTATAACAATTAATGATAGTTAATAATTGTTAATATTTGTTAGTCGTGGTCATTGATGGGCCAATGGGTTGAAATCCCGTCATGATACCAGTATATCAGAAGGTAAATCCCATTAAATTCCATTCTCATTAAATCACCATTTTCCTATGGTTTTCCTATGCTTTTCCTATGGTTTTCCACATAACTTGAACCCTCTGCAGTCCTCTGGGCTGCCCAACGCCATGGCTGCATCCACCACGACCATCGTCCCATTGATCTGCGTTTAAGCCACCATTCGTTTCTGGACTTGGATGTTGGATATGTATATTTTAATAGGGAAATCAACTATAAATATCTATTTCTATGGCAATTTTCAGTAGCAAACTGTAACAAATTACCAGAGGGTATGATGGATTATGATGTATATTACGATTATGATGATATTATACCATCTGGTTATTTAACATAGCCATGGAAAATCCCTCATAAATGGAGGTTTTAATGGGAAAATCATCTATACATGGGCCATTTTCCATGGCTATGTTAAATAAGCAGAGGGTACATATAATATACTGGTTGGTGGTTGACCTACCCATCTGAAACATATTAATTAGTCAATTGGGATTATGAAATTCCCAATATGATGGGAAAAATAAAAAGTGTTCCAAACCACCAACCAGATATAGATAATTTCTTTTGTTGAACATGTTTTGCAATTCTCAGGGTGCTTGATTACTCAATTGGTTTGAGTTACAGTAGATGAAATAATTATAGATGGTTTGATGAGTTGAAATTTCGGGAGAATTGGCTAAGGCTGATTGGTTTGTTGAATGTCAAATGGAGTACTGACTACAGTATATCAGTATATCATTATATCTAGGGAAACAATTTGGGAAACCTGGTCTTGAAACATGTGCTTTCTTTGTTCCGGACACTTGGAACAAATATACCCTCTGGTAATTTAAAGTAGCTATTGAAAATGTCCCATTTATAGTGGATTTACCCATTGAAAATGGTGATTTTCCATAGTTATGTTAGTTTACCAGATGTGTTTGATTCCCAGAGCCAAACAAGTGCACCGAATAGTGTTTTCCCTTTGAGGCAAAATTCATGACAGAGCTCTTTTTGTTTGCGAGTACTTATTCAGAGGTGGCATTGAGATTCACTTTTGGAGTTTCGATCATCTAACCCAAAATCACATGGGAATAACTATCAACTTATCATTTTTGGTATCCTCAGCTTCAGACACAGCCATCCCCATATTGATGCTTAAACTCTTGCATCCTCACTAATTAAATTTAGACTACCAGTTCAATCAATTTGTACATCCAACAAAAACAAATCCTCATATGTGTACTCATGTATCCTATTATAGCAGACCCCCAAAAAAATAGAGAAGTCATTTACAGTGCCCCTATTTCAGGGTTGGACAACTACTTTGCTGCATCCTTTTTTGGGGGTCACACATCCCAGTTACTTGGTTGTTCATTGATCCCTCGCTCAAAGTTTAAGTTTTTGTGCAACATGTTTTTATCTACCAAACAAGCCAAACGCCTGAGGCTACCATATATTGCCAAACATATAGATGGGTCTGAGAGAATCCATTCACACTATGCTTAAACTTCACCCTCTGGTAGTTTAACATAGAGATTAAGATCACCATAGTTTTCATAGCTAAATCGACCAAATTCTCCCGGCGACCTCCTGATGAAGCTCCCGCGTTGCAGCCTTCGCCCTGAGGATCAGCCGGGATGGATACGGTAAAACATGTCACCAGCTTTGATTTCAGCAAAGAAATAGGTAAAACATGGTAAAACAACGGGTATACGCTATGTATAGATATATATACATAGCGTATACCCGTTGTTTTGAATATATATATATATATACATGTATGAAACCAACAATTTCATGGAGGCAAACGGGGATATATAAACAATAATATCATGATTCGTCTTTGTGTGAAAATAAGGTGGATACGGCGCAAAATGCGGGATACGGCAAAATGGTAATGTTGCATCATAGGGAAACTGATGATGAACCTTTTGGAAGGTCAAAAGTCATATGAGATCAGGCAAACGATCCAGGCACCAGTTCTCTAAGCTTCTGGCGATGCAGGGTCTTTGTAGGAGATGAAAGCAAAACCTGCTCAAGGAACCGCTGCCGGGTCAATTGGCTGAGAACTTGCGCACCGACTTGATGCTACATTGTAAGAACTTCTCACCGACTTGATTCGACGTTGTACCCTCTGGTAAACTAACATAACGAACTGGAAAATCACAATGTTTAATGGGTAAATCAACGAACTAGGGTCATTTTCAATAGCAAACTGCTAGCTTACCAGAGGGTATATACTATGAACAGTTTCATGTTCAGACAAAATGCCCACCTCACAAGGGCCACATTTATACCACGGTATGTCATGAAGGCCTGCAGACGGGCGCCGTAGCCTTGTTTATATCTTAAGGCAAGTACCCCAGTGAAAATGTTGCAGCGTTGCAGGGGGTCTAAGATGGCCATGCTCATACAGGTTTATAACTTATTAACTTTAATTGATTACTTTGTAATAATCAGTTATTCGTTCTTGACTTGGCTCATATTAGTAGATCTCAACCCACACCCGTTATCCCAGTGATGATCCATGGTTTGTTAATTCAAAGCATCTACAGCTAGCCGTATGGGATCTGGGGATGGTTCCTAATGGTTCCTAACCCATGTCCAAATGAGAAGGCTTTCCCATCACCAGTTGACTATGTTGACTCTCTGGCAACATGAAACCAACATTTTGGAAAGTTTTCATTATTCTTGGTTAATCTTGGCGAACATGATCCCTCCGCAGTTCTCCAAAGACTCAGTGACTCTTCGTCGCTCCGAGGTCCTTCTGACATCTTTGTGCCTCAGCGACCTTGGCAAGTTGAACATCGTCAATGGAGCAGTGTCCACAGGTGCCTTCATGGTGAAAACATCGAAAATCCATGCGGCGAAAATATGGCACGTCAACGAAGAAACGTGAGGAGATCGCCAAAAATTGTCGGATTTAGCCAAACAAATGGAATATAAATGGGATATGACCTGTAAGATCCGATCAAATATGGGACCTGTTGCGCCGAAAAAAAAAAAACTCCTTCGCACCAGGTGTTTTCGTTGCGGTGGTGCCCTTCATGGTGGGGTCAGGGACGTCCAGCCAGGGAAACGTGGCCCATGCTGTTTTTCAGGTGAGAAAGGTTATTTTTTGGGGAAACATGGGAAAACACACCAAAAAAGAAGCAATTTGTGAAGGAAATGATGAACATTGATGAAACCGAGGGATTAGGGGTAGCCATCAATTTTTTGGGGTTAGTGGTGATTGTATATTTACATATATTTACCTACAAAACTGGGTGATTTTTGGGGTAAATGTAGGTAAATATCCCAGCACCATGGAGCATCTGGTGATTGTATCATTGCATAATGATGCAGCAGATTCATGGGGATGTGATGAAGAAAACGATTGAACCATCAAGGCCCCAAGGCCCAGGTTGGAGACCGTGACCGTGACTCAGAAGGAGTTGACGTGACAACGACGTCTTGTGAAACATGGGCTGCCCAAGTCCAAAAACAGAGTTGTTTAATGTCGTTTATACACATTCGAATCGGTGGGTTTGCCAAGCACCAAGATTACAGAAAGCAAAAAAGAAACTTCCAGGACTTTCAAGGCCAGTGGTTCCTTTGTTGCTCTTCAACGAACATAATTCCCAAGAATTGGCTCATTTGAAGCGTGACCCCTTGGGTGCGTCCATTTCTATGCCGCACCGATCTGTCCCATGAGCAGCAGTCCTTTGCCCGCAGAGGTTGCACTTGTTGGAACGTGTCCAGCAGTCCATTGCCCTTCGTTTGGCGTGGGATCCCAGGACAATAAAAATGGATCCTCTGGTCCTGAAAAACGGTAGAAAAACAGCCGTTTGTCTATGTAGATGATTGGCCTAGTATACAGTAAATGGATGTAAATGGTGGATCTTCATTGGTTTTTCCATAGCTGTGTGAAATTACCATAAATTACCAAAGGGTAACTCGGATGCACCAAAAGCTTTCATCATTCTTTTGGGAATATCATGGAGTAAGAACTGATTTTGAATGTATATGAATATATGATAATATATGACTATGATACAACCAGCACTAATTAATCTGCCGTTGAAGTTATATCTCTGTTGCGGGGGTGATTAATTATATGATACTATAATATATATATATATTATATGATACTATATTAATGTAAACGTGTTAAAACAATAGAATGCGCGTTTTTTTTAAACGAATCCATCATTGTCTTTTGGTATACCGAGCTTACTCAGTATTTCATTGGATGGCACTCCGGGGTATACCCGGCCTGGTAAACGTTTACAGAACGAACTGGAAAGATCCAGCATTTTTGTTATGGGTAAATCCATGTAGATCCACTATTTCTATTGGCCATTTTCAATGGCAAACTGTTAGTTTACCAGAGGTATAACTTTCATGGCGATGGCGCACGGTCCCGAAACTGGCTCCACGGCTCCAAAAAAAAATCGGATCGAGGCAAATCTTGGGCATCAGCCCTGGGTCATTTGTTCATATGATTTTGTTGATGGATGTCCTATGTATATGTATATATATATATATATGTATATGATATATGATAATACATATATATATAGTGATGTTCAAAATTGCACACATGAATCAGCTATATCTGTATGGTATACAGCCCAAATGATTCCTCTGCTCGGCTCTTCTGACAGCAGTTCTACATTGGTTACATGTCAAAACCGCTGCATAATTAGTTTGATCATCTTTGCTGGTTTCTAAAGTAAGAAACACATGGAACAGGTGAAACATACCCTCCGGCATAGTATAGAAAAAGAACCAATCTGGAAACATCCGAAGGTAGATCATGTTGCGACCTTCACCATGGCTGTTTTTCCAGATTGCCATGAAAATCCATGAAATACAGGGGTTGGTAACTGTCACATTTTGGGTATATTGGACATCACCTTATAGTAGCCATTATAGACCATATACCTAATGGTTGGGTGATGTTCAATGGGGACATTTAATGACCCATGAAATACGAGAAAATCCATGGTTATGTTATATCCCAGATTATCCTTGAAAATCCATGGTTGTTTTCCCAGATTATCCATGATCTCCGCTATATCCTACGAGAAAATCTCCATTGTTGATAGGTAAAGAAACAAACCATTCTGGTTAGACCGGGACCGGGTCCCGGCTCGTGGGATGATCCTCCAAGTGCCCGGCTCAGAAAGAATCTTATATATGCATATAGAATCATATATATAATTATTATATTATATTTATTATATTATATTTATTTTATATTATATATATTGTATATATAATATATACTATATGTTATATATTATATTATAGATATATATATATAATATATATATATATATATATTATTTTTAGATTATTATATTATATTATATATTATATATATATATAATATTTATGATATATATATATTATATATAACATATAATACATGTGATATAATATATAACATATAGTATATTATTTATATAGTATTATATACATTTGGTAATCGATCTAAAGGTCCTTGTAAGGAGTTTTAATTGCGAAAGCCATGAATGTTCTGTGGGAAACCCTCGCGAAAGTTTTTTTTGAGTTCGTGAAAGTAACATTTTTTTTGCGAAAGTTTCGCCAAAGTAACATTTTTATTCGCGAAGAATGGCCGTTCCCGGGCAAAGGAATTTTGATCAACAAACATATATGATATATATTCCATTATATACAATTGATATAGATCTCATATATAATATATATGTATATAATACATATATATATATATCCATCTTTTTTGTTGGTTCCCTTATAGTCATGGAATCCATAGTCAAAAACAGCCAGGGCCTCTTTCTGCTGCTGATCTTTGGCGTCCTCGGCAGCTTGTTCGCCTTGCTGCTGGCCTGGGAACTCAGGTTTACACCACAAACACAGGGAAAAGACATATAGATGGATGGATGGATGGATGGATGGATTGTCAGATAGATAGATAGGTAGATAGATAGATAGGTAGATAGGTAGATTAGGTAGGTTAGGTAGATTAGGTAGATTAGGTAGATTAGGTAGATTAGGTAGATTAGATAGATGAGATAGATTAGATAGATTAGATAGATTTTACAGATTAGATAGATTAGATAGATTAGATAGATTACATAGATTAGATAGATTAGTTAGATTAGATAGATTAGATAGATTAGATAGATTAGATATATTAGATAGATTAGATGGATTAGATAGAATAGATAGAATAGATAGATTAGATGGATTAGATAGAATAGATAGAATAGATAGATTAGATAGATTAGATAGATTAGATAGATAAGATAGATATGATAGATATAGATACATAGATACATTGATACATTGATACATTGATACATTGAACCTGAGAGTTTTGAACTGCTTAATGTCAAACCCATGTGATGTTCAATCCTTGTTTGGCAAGTAACGACCCTGATACCAATCAATCAAGGACGGTGTGGTATCTAATGTAATTATCTTGGGATGGTCGGCAATTCCCAAACACGAAGAAACCAGCATTGGTCATTGCCAGTGCGGCCACCTATGCTTTGCATGGATGTTCAGGAGTGTACCAGGGTGAGACATGCAACCCAGGCCGAATGATTCATCAGAAACACCCTTTGCCTTTACTTATTTTCACTTACTTTTCTTGGTTGTGTTTCTGTCCTCATGAGTTCTTAGTGTTACTAAGTCACGACCCATTTTTCTTGCAACTCTTGAGACCCATTTTTCATGTTTCGGCCGCAAAAAAGGATGACAACTACGAGCGGGAACTCTCAGCGGTCGGGATCCTGAGATCTCGGCCGACTGGTGCGTGCGTTTTACGTAGGGTTGCTGGATGGGTTGCTGGGATGATGACATTACGAATTAGTGATGATTGGGATCATTCCGGAAAATTCCCTGCGTAAAACGCACCAGCAAGTTGTTTTATGGCAATTCTGAAGCTATTGTATTTATTGGGACGATGTTATAAGCCATAGAACGATTTTATGCTATTGATATAATCTTCGGTCATCAACTATGGCTGGGAGATGTGTGGACTAGCCATCGAGGTTAAAAACTGCTCAAGGAAGCCCAACAACAAAATATGGTGGTTTCTATAGTCATTGGGGTACCCCTGTTAATGGATTGTTTATATGGGAAAATCCATCAATGGATGATTTAGGGGTACCCCTACTTCAGGAACGCCCCCGCATATATATATATATATATAATATATATATATATATACCCTCTGGTAATTTAACATAACTATTGAAAATCACCATTTTAATGGGTAAATAAACTATTTCTATGACCATTTTCAATAGTTATGTTAGTTTACCAGAGGGTATAGAAATTCATCCTCATCAGCCTGGATAGGCGCTAAATCATTGGCATTGTTCGACTCTTGCTACAACGGCTGGTTCGGAAATCCTCTTCAAATGGGCAATTGGATGGGAAAATCATCTAAACATGCTGCGTCAAGTTCAAGAAGTCATCATTGTTTGTCAGGTTTGTCCATGTTCGGATAACAAACCGTTATACATTCAATGTTGACTATGGTCTATCAGGGTTGTTCTTGTTCTTGTTCCTTTCTTGGTCATATTTGTGTTATTGTTTCTCGTCGTGTTGGTCTTGTTGTTCTGCTCGTTGTTCTTCTTGGTGGTTTTCTTCTTCTTGTCGCACTGGATATTATGTGTATAATGCACACCTACGCACCTCTTTTGTTCCTTTTCTGGCATGGTCATACCCCTATAATGTTAGTATGTTAGTAAAGCAATAGGATCCACCATCCCCAGTTTTACCATAAATGGATGGTATGAACCATCAAACTACGTATGGATGGTTTATTATTGCTTAACCAACATTAGTATAGACTTTTTAAATCTTTTTAAGATCCACTAACAGCCCCTGGCTCTTCCAGGCCTGCTTCTGGAAGAAGAACTTCTGAGACCATGACCGGAGCCATGAGAAGTCCAATGCTGCGCAGGAGCCATCATTCAACGGGGATGGACAGAGCCATGGATCAAGTGACCATGATTTTCATTGATGAACCATATTTTTTGGAGGATGAACATCATTTTGTCAGATATTTTTGTGTGAGCAACAGGGTACCCTTCAAAACTGACCCATACCCATATCTATCCAGCAACTATACGGCGAAAATCGAAATTCACCAGCCAAAAGGTCGTATGAAAATATATGGGACAGGTCATGAACTTCGATCAATTCCCAGCCAGCTATTTTGGTGTTCACCAGGGGAAGAGCACTTCCCATCCCCTCCCATGCCGCAGGTAGGACGGTACCCTGGATGTTATGGATATTTTTGGATGGTACTTTGTATTGTATTTGCATTGTCAGCGGGTGTGCAAGTGAGCAAAGTGTTGTGGTTGGGGATGAAAGTGAGGAAGACGTTTTGAAGTATTTTATATATGTCCATCTCAAGAACTGTGAAGAACAGCTTTCACAGATGAAGCTCATCAGATGAGGGTTTTGAAGCTGCTTGTCAATCTAGGTCTTATTTGGTCGCGCGCAGCATGATATGTATCACTGTCCGCGGAGACTCCACGAATGGTTCGCATTGACACGTTGCGTGCAGCACGGGCCGTGAGACCCAGATAATGTTGTATAATCCTGGAGCAATGAAACCTGACTATTAATTGAGGTTCCCCAAAAGTTGTGATAACTTACACTTCAGACTGGTACCCCCTATTCACAAACTGTTGTGTTTAATCATGGGTTGATATTATGCACGCTTGTCGCGTGACTACTATCCTTTAACTGGAAAATGTTGGGAGTGACTGCGGATGACTAGAAGTTGATTGGGAAGCAATAATCCATTTGCAAGTAGTAGCAGCCCATCATTGTACCTTGTCTTCAAAGTACCATCTTGGCGAGGGAATTTCCACAGCTTTTGGTTGCCACTGAGTCTTCAACTTGCACAAGCCCCAAGTTGATCATGAAACCCAAAGACATGGTCATTCCCAGTCCCAGCAGAAGAATTTTATTTATTTTTTATGTTTTTTCCAGGTGAAATGTCGGGTGGCCGTGGAACTCAGACGAACCCTTCGCCGGTGATTTCCCCGCACCTGAAATGCAGCAATTGATCGAAAAGACTGGGGTGAGCCTTGGTGAATATTTGATTGATGGGCGAGTTCTCAGCTATACCACAGGGTTACATGCATGACCATATGTATATATATATATATATGTGTATGTACGTATATATTACATATTATATAGTATAATGATATATATATACACAATAAGATATGGGGTGTTTACACGTATTTGTATATGTATATACTGTATATCTATCATGGCCACAAAGAGGTCAGTGGGAAAAAAGTGTGCCCAAGTCAGACGTGGTTTAATAATTCTTGAATCACTCCTCCCTAATATTAAATGCCTTTCTGAAAACCCTGGTTTAGTATTGGAATATATTGGAATGTACCATCTGGTTATTTAACATAGCCATGGACAATGGCCCATTTACAGATGGTTTACCGATTAAAAATGGTGATTTTCCATGGCTATGTTAAATAACCAGATGGTAATCATTTTGGTTCTTGGATATATGATACTAGGGGGATGGGATGGTTCTTCCAGGGTTTGAACATCGCCGAAACGAGCTCCAGTACCTTCCGGCAATGATGGCAATGGACAAATTGGAACATGATCCATTTGTCGATGATTTTCCCGTTAAAAACATCCATTTACAATCATTTACACAGTTGTAGTTATAGCCCCTCCAGTTATGAGTTATGACTGCCTTATAATGATATGTATAGCCTTAGTCGCAGGAGTTATAATCCAATTTATAGATGTTAAGGGCCGTAACTGTAGATTATTTTCCAATTGCCACGTTTGATTATCAGAGGGTAGGTTTCTTCGTTTCATTTTATAGCAACCTTGCCCCAGGCTCAAGTGCTTGTAGCATCTTGTAGCTGTTCCGAAGGTGCAGATTGGCGTGAGCATAGTGGACACCAAGGATTTGATGAGGGACGACATGTACTTGGATCTCAGTCACCAAAAGTCTCCCATCTTAAATTGTTTGTGACTCAAACATGAAGGACTCAACATAGATATTGCAGTTTGCTGAAAATATTCAATCTTTTGGGTCCATTGGTACCACCTTTTTTGGAATTATACATATTTTTTAAAACTCTAATTGAGAAACAGAGATATGCCTTGCTTACCTTGGTTCGGTGCCGCGTTTCCGTGATGGATCAGGATCAGGATCTTGATTCTCACAACAGCCGGCTGCCAGTGTCACCAAGATTTCAGCAAGATTCCAGCAGGAGCTTGTCTCACCAGGTGCCATCAGAGTCTCTCCAAGGCATCCCTTTCCGCTACCTTTTGGCCAGGGCTGGAAGACCTTTCAAAGCGGAAGATTTCTCTGTGGGTCGCAGGAACTTAAGGCAATGTTTAGATTTTGATGCTTTCATCAGTCATGACTGGCAGACATCTCATTGGTTGAAGTATGGCTCTCTGCTTCTGCTCTTCAATGTGAAAGCTGCTGCGGTTGCAATATTGCTGTTTAGCACAGCGGGAGGCTTCCTTATCCAGTACAAGGTGTTGCCTCAGACTGGTTGGGCGGTATCCATTGGCTACCTAGTCTTTGTATGTCTTTGTGATTTTCCTGGTTTTCTGGCAAGACATTCGAGATCTGTTCCTCAGGCCAAGGTTGGCGTTTCTCGACAAGCTGACCATACCACAGGAAGACCAGAGAGCAAAAGAAACGTGCATTCTTGGACTGGCGGGATTCTTGAAACACTCGAAGAAATTGGTGATTTTGTGTCTGAATCCTACATTGACCGTGTTTGATGTGTCTACGACTACGAGTTTGCGACATTCATGCGAATTCACCGCGGAGAGAGACCAGTGTAAGCAATCCCTGTAGCGCTTCCCTTGTTGTTGTTGTTGTTGTTGTTGTTGTTGCTGCACTCTGTTTGGTGGTTTGCCATTCGGGGTGTGACCTTTGTCATCGTGCTCGGGACTGAGCATACCCAAAATTACTGGCCAACGATGTTGCTGTGCAGCATCAGTGTTTTCGTATGTTTTCGTGATATTTCTCCTCACCTACCCGTGTCAATCCTGCATTGGCACGCGCATGACCCAGAACTTGACGGAGCTCAACAGGAAGCTTCGCCGTTTCGAGGTTCAAGCGGCGAAACGTTCCTGCTGTTCCAAAGGTCACAGGATGCCTGATGGAGAGCTGATCCCATGTGACCGGGCACTGATTTATCAGAGTTTCTCAGCGTGGTATGATACCAAGGCCACAGAGAATTTGACTGGACTTGACATGTTCAATACAGCTGTTCGACATGAATATGGGTCTCAGATTTTGCAAGCTTGTGGCGGTTCACAGATGATTCCACTGAACCTCTTCATCTACCTGGTCTTCAGTATCAATACGCCTTTCTTGATACGCAATATCCATGGTGAAATGAAATCCAAACTATGGGCTCCCCACACCTTACCATTCGACGAGAAACAGATGAACGTGGTTTGTCCCTACAGCTATGGAAGCCATGTCCAATTTTGTTCGATAATGCACCTATGAATAATGACGAGCTTCCATAGCAAACTGTGAACATTTCTATATAGATACCTATTCAAAATGTTTTTTTTTTTTAAACCATAGCAGACTGTGAGTCCTTATCAGAAGGTACCTGTTTGCATGAATTTGCTGGCTCAAGAGAGAAGTGAAGCCCACCCTTCTCTGCCATTTACGTCCCTTGGTTTCAACTGGGAGGAAGAAGAGTGGAAGAGAAGCATCAACAAAGGGCCGACGTGGTAGCCAATAATATGTATATATTGATATAAATATATATATATATAATAATAATATATATATATATGATAATGTATATATAATTATATATGTAATAATATATATAATAACATATGTATATAATTATATGTACAATTATATATAATAATATATATATATAATAGTATATATATATAACCAATATATATATATATATATTTACAATAATATATATATATATATAATAATACATATATATATATACATATAATTATATATATAATAATGTATATATAATAATAATAAAATAATACTAATAATATTAATAATAATAATAATATAATAATAATATAATAATAATATAATAATAATAATATAATAATAATATAATAATATTAATCATAATAATAATAATATATATATTTATATTATATACATAGTAGTTATTATATAAGCATGTTTAGATATATATATATATATATATATTTGGTTGGCATGAGGATTGAAACACGCGCCGAATAACTGCATCCAACATGTGCGTTCAAAAAATGGTTCAATCAGCAAACATGGAGATTCAAACAACCGATCAGTGTCGATTCGGGATTGGTGGCACTTGCGAACTTTGGATTTTGTGACTGGAGTTTCTGAATTGCCAAAATCAATGGGGAAGCTTCTCCTATGCGTTTTTTAGGCAGATTTATATATATATATATATGAGATGTGGTCAAAATCAGCGTAGACCACTTTAGTAAGGGAGGGTCCAGTTGTGTTGAGAAAGTGCACCAAACTATGTAAAGCGATCGGCCCCCCCCCAAAAAAGCGATAACTTGTAACCATATGAGAGTGCATTAAACTTGGTGTAAACCAAACAAATATTGTTGTGTGCCTTCACGCGATGGGCAAAATTGATTTAAAAAATCAACCTGCAGTGCCCACGTTTCTTGCAGTTGCCATACCATTTGTTGTCCAAGGTGATTGAACCGTTGCTTTCTGCAGGCAATTGTTTTTTCTCCCAGGTCCCAAAGCAGTAGAACTAAACTCAACTAAATGCAACCAATTAATTTATTTTTTTTAATCTAATTCTTAATTCCGTTTACGCGCTTTACTTTAATTTGAATGTCGTATTCCTGTGTTTCCTTTTCTTTGTCTTTCCTTCCTTTTTCCTTTTTTTGTTCAATTGTCCTTTTTGTTCCACGGTCCTTTTTCTTTTCCTTTCTTGATCATCAAGGTGTTCTAATTTAGCGATAACCTTAGCGATAACCTAGCGATAACCTGTTTGTCGAAAAAAGAACCCCGGACGAGGGACAGACTCATGTGATCCCAACAAGAAGAACTCAACAAAAAAGCGAACAGGTTCTCAACCCTAGGCCATCAGGTTGTTTTGAGACTTGGGGAGCTTTAACCACTTCTTCATAGCTACGAACGCCCCTTCATCCATTCCCAGCAGTTTAGAGATCTGAATCCGTGAAGCCAATTCCGCTGCATGTTTGCATTATTTAGTGTTGATTTGAACAAAGCGATAAGGCCCCCAAAAAAGCGATAACCTATACTCGGTAACGGTAAGATGGCACACGACTTCTGGAAACTAAGATGGCACAAACGCCAAAAATCAAAAATAAATAAGATGGCAACCGAATACCATGGCAGAACCAGGTGTGCCATCTATCTGTTCCATAAATGGGGTGTGAAATGGCCTAAAACCAAACGTCAGGACCCAGTCGATATACTTCTCCAGGAATGTGCCATCTTAGGGGTGTCAAATCCACGCACAGCAAACTCTTCCTTTTTTGTTCCCCTGCTTCTGAAAATTCAGAAAATTCAGAAAATTTAGAATTACATATATATATATATATATATTTAAATATAAAGAATTCAGAAAATTCAGAAAATTCAGAATTATATATATATAGATATTTAAATATAAAGAATTCAGAAAATTCAGAAAATGCGGAAATTTCAAAAAATTCAGAATTATATATATATATATATATATTTATTTAAATATAAAGAATTCAGAAAATTCAGAAAATGCGGAAATTTCAAAAAATTCAGAATTATATATATATATATATATTTATTTAAATATAAAGAATTCAGAAAATTCAGTTCCACACTAAGATGGCACATGCCCACCCAAACCGTTTTCTCTGTCTCGTGGGGTTCTTGGTATTCTATTTTTATCCATATATATATATATGTATCTGTTCCACACTAAGATGGCACATGCCCACCCAAACCGTTTTCTCTGCCTCGTGGGGTTCTTGGTATTCTATTTTTATCCATATATATATATATATGTATCTGTTCCACACTAAGATGGCACATGCCCAACCAAACCGTTTTCTCTGCCTCGTGGGGTTCTTGGTATTCTATTTTTATCCATACATATATATATATATATATCTGTTCCACACTAAGATGGCACATGCCCACCCAAACCGTTCTCTCTGCCTCGTGGGGTTCTTGGTATTCTATTTTTATCCATATATATATATATATATATGTATCTGTTCCACACTAAGATGGCACATGCCCACCCAAACCGTTTTCTCTGCCTCGTGGGGTTCTTGGTATTCTATTTTTATCCACATATATATATATATGTATATATGTATCTGTTCCACACTAAGATGGCGGCGCAAGCCCTCCCAAACCGTTTTCTCTGCCTCGTGGGGTTCTTGGTATTCTATTTGTATCCATATATATATATATATATGTGTGTGTATCTGTTCCGCACTAAGATGGCACATGCCCACCCAAACCGTTTTCTCTGCCTCGTGGGGTTCTTGGTATTCTATTTTTATCCATATATGTATATATATATGTATCTGTTCCACACTAAGATGGCACATGCCCACCCAAACCGTTTTCTGTGACAATTTTACCTTTTGGACCTGTCTGCAAGAGGTTTCATTCCCTGCAGATTCGGACACAATCTTGTAACAAATAGAAGATCATGAGAGTCAAAAAAAAAGGAATGCTTGTAGCATAGGTGATCTGGATATCATGTCAGCTCCTTTTACATTTCTTCTTCAAACCTACGAATCCCCAAAGCTTGGATCTTTAGCTCGGTTTGAACCCTGATCCGGGCGAACGGCCGGCGAAAGTCCATGTGCTACCTATCTGTTCCAAACGTGGAGGTATCCCATCAGAGCATTTTTTATGATTTAAAATCCATGTGCCATCTATAGTTTGCAGGATTTTTGTGTACATTCGGGCAGGTTTTTTTTGTGATAGATGGTGTTTTTTCAGCTTTTTCTATGTGCCATCTTACCGTTACCGAGTATATATTTTCGTACCAAGCATCAACAATTGATTTTGACGGCGGCTCATATACATAGATATATTTACAGTAATGTAGGACCACATTAATATGTGTTCTGTATGAATATGGTCTATGATATATCTCAATGATATACCATGTATCGAAGATAGTAATAGTTGGTGGTTCAAACATGTTCAAACTATTCACATTCCAAAGAAAAGGGCGAGGTTCTAAACGTCGCTACGTTTAAGATAGCGATCCTATGTCTGGATCCTAACTCCCAAGGTTTTTTTTTCCAATCCCGACGAAGCTTTGGATTATTTAAAGTCTTCAACATATCTCTAGATGACCAGCCATTTCAGGCGGAAACCAACACCACTGAGGCTGTTCCACTACAGTTCTCAACCTTACCGGCTGTGGATGTGATGAGGCTGGGCTTGGGTCAGCCACGGATCCTCACTGGGGTAGATCCCTCCCAGGCCTCCGATTTGAAAGACAAGCATCTAGTGGATTCCCCTAAGGAAAAAATATGACAGTAAAGTCAGAGAACCAAATCAGCAGGGCTTCCAGCGTAGCAGGGCTATGGGTGGTGAAACACACTTTTTCCACCCGAGCACTGATACAAAACAAGAAATAGCCGTTATGTGCGAAAGTACTTGTCCCGTGGTCATGGCAGATGCTCATTTATAATTAGGGCGGGAAAAACAAATCTTGCTTCCCTTAGGCTCACTTTTCTGCTTAGTTTCAACCTTTTTGGAATGTGTAGAATGAGAAGAGGCCTCGGACGGTGCAAGGTAAATGATGGTGGACACAATGTTTGGGGGTCATTAGGCCATCGTCGTCCGCGGGTGTCTTCGAGTCGGCTATGAACCAGCTAGTTTTAGGCATTGTTCCCGACAGAAGTGGACACAGAAGACAGCGCGGCAAGCTCAGCAGTATATAAATGTATACTATTGTATACTATGTTCATTGGTCATGTGGTTGTCCGTGCGTGAGGCCCTGAAAAGGTTTTTAAGTTTTATCTTTCTATGTGCTGGGAGAAAGGCTTTATTTCTTGCCATCAGCATGTGACGATTTCTTCTTTTGAAAGATTCTTCTTCTCCCGGTGAAAGGATTCCTCCTTCCCGGCGCCGGGTTGGGAGGATTCTCTTTTTCCCGGCGCCGGGTCTCGCTCCCGGCGCCGGGTCTCCCTCCCGGCGCCGGCTCTCCTCCCGGCGCCGGCTGAAGCCTTCCTCCTTTCCCAGTGCGGGGTGGAAGCTTAAAGACCAGCAACCGTGGCGACATACAGTATGTTTGTTGCTGAGCTCAGGGCGTCAAAGTCTTCATTCCCTTCTAACGGCGCCAGGGTGACGAGGAGCGCGCTTCGATTCAACAATGACACCCGGATACTCGAAATTCAAGGCGCAGATCAGCTGTAGCGTGGAGAGATGTATTTCGGCCATGAGATGGAGGATAATTAAGGAACAGCAACGCTGCTGACTGTTGCTAGCTTTCCGCTTCCGCGCCTACACACCCGCCCTATAGCTTTCTACGGAGCCTCCTGCTATGTCGGCAGCAGACGGACGCCTACCCTGCCATTTTGAAAATGTATGTATGTATATCTGGTAAGAGGCATGCACGCTTTTAAATATTCCTTCACAGTCGCACCTGCACCAAGACGGGGATGAAATAAATTCCGGCCATTGCAGGCACCAGGCGCCAATTTTCAGTGCAAATTTTCATTTTTGAAAACGTACGAAATCACCTCGCACAGCCCCGATGGCTTGGCTCCACCCACTGCCCCGCTCAAAGGGCTCGCGGCGGCCTTCCTCCGAATGCCCCGTTCAAGCTCCTTACTCGTACAAGATTCAAATCTTCCTCCCAAAGCCCCGAACGAACCATTTCCATCCAAAGCCCCGATGAAACCATTCCACCCAAATCCCCGATGAAAAATTACACGCAAAAACGGTTAAAAAAACAGCAAAAAAAAGTGTTTTTCTTGTTTCTGGAAAGGGCCTAGATGCTTCCCAAGTCTCGGCTGAAGGGCCCGCAGCAAGGACTTGCTTGAAAACCCCAAAAGACTGGATGGCGGCATTAAGCAATCTTGAATACTACCTCTCCTACATCGGCACTAATGCAAGCCTAAAAGGCTTGAGGTCACGGGGTTTTCCTTCATTCCATCCGGTTCAGCTTCTTGCATCAACGTGTCTGCCAGGCATATATGGAAGCAATGCAGAAACAGACTCTGGTCCCTGTTCTATTTTTGTTTGAGACATTCAAAGTTCAACGTCCACCGTAGCAATGCTCTTTTTCAACCAGCGTTGTGCAAAGCTTTGGCACCCAAGCCGCTGCTCCTGTTTGCTCTTTGCTGTGGCCTCTGCCTTTCTAGGGCTGGCCTGTTTCAATTTCCCGCTTAGCAGGCTTAGCAAATGAAAATGGAATTGGTAGTGTTCTGCAAGCCGTGCTTGAAACAGCTACAGGACTGAGCATGAGGGTTGAATGAGAGGGCATTGCTGCAGCTTGCTGCTCCCAGTGGCTCGGGCGTGCCTTGACGGCAAGCTTCCCCAAGTTGAGAGCTTTCCCCATGAAGGCAAGGATTCGAACGCCCGTGGTGAGTTGCCATCTTGACGAAGGCAACTGCCGCTAATGCTCTAGGTGTTGCCTGCGTTAGCCTTCTCCGCGGCGTGCCCAGCGCGGGGTCGACTGTGAAATATGGCAAAGGGCGTTTCGCATGCTACTGGCCTGGTTCTAGTCGCAGGAATTCAAGGCAACATTGCGAAAGAAACAGGTGGCCACTGAGATCAGGTTGTACATACGGTATCATACATATTGATTTTCACAGGTACATGCTGTTGAAGTAGCCCTCCAAGGACAAGAAGTGCCCAAGCGAAGGCTAAGGATTTGCTAGTGCTCAATTGCATGGGTCTGTCCTGTATTGGCCATTGCTTGTCATAAAACAAACTTACATTGCAATAGCAGAGGTTGTGCTTGAACCAAACTACATGGGGTCTTGAAATGTGTTCCGGTAGAAGATTCAGTGAACGTTTGCAAGGCTATTTAATCAGACATATCTGTTCAATGTAGCTAGGTGGGAAACCCCCCCCAAGCCCCGCTCCACCCAGTGCCCTGCAAATTCTTTCCTCCAATAAAGCCTACATAAGAACAACATACATACATAATAACAACCCCAAAAAGATAGATTATTGTGGATACAAGTAAAATCCCACTAAAATAGTGAGTAGTTTGACCCGTTTCTATCCTTTTGGGACGTTCGTTCCCAGCTGATTTGCTCCTGGTGATCCACAGACGATACAGGATCTCCATTAGCGAATTCATCCACCTCGGCTGCGTCGCACGCTCGGTGGTAAGGGCTCGAAGGATTGAGCTTTATCCAAGAAAAATGGGGATTTAACAAACAGAAACGGTGGTAGAATGGGAATTCAATGGGATCCTTGATGATGATGGTAATGATATCTAGGTGATGATGATGATGATGATGATGATATCCCCCTCCGGGAATCCTCTATAAAATCAAGGGCGTAGGGGACTGTATAAATTGTTTTTTTTTATGTAAATATTTTGTTGTCACAAAACATTGGCGTTCCTGACTTTTTGATTTTATAGACTGCCGCAAATACAGAGGACCCCCCCTCAAGTTTGATTTTATAGTGGTTCATATGTTGGAAATGGACATGTTTCAACGGGGGTAGCCATTTTGATTTTATAGTGCTTAAAATCCTGATTGATCTTTTGATTTTATAATGATAGCATTTGACCAGCATATTGGTTTGTTTTGCTTATGAATTACGGAGAAGAAAAATGAAACTATTGGAATCCAAACGTTCGGAAACTGTGCCCTCAAAGTGGGTGTCACCAGACTTTAGATTTTATAGATGCGTTATTTTGCCTTAAAAGGCTGTCCAACGCTATCTAGGTGACCCTGATTTTATAGACATTAGTGGTTTTTGGTTGGTTTTTACAATTTTTGATTTTATAGATATAATCATGGTGACATGGCTGGTTTTTTGATTTTTTAGAGGTGCCACAGGGGAGGGGGGGCTGGTGATCGCCCATTTATGCACTATAAAATCAGGGTCACCTAGGTAACCCCCTATTCCCAAAGGAAGATATGATGATGATGATGATGATGACGATGACGATGACGACATTGGTTTATGGATTGATTGGGTGTGTTTGAAAATTGGTTTTGGTATGCAAAATGATAATTAACCATGAGAGCTCTGGTCACTCCATTTTCCGACAAACCCAGTCATTGTCAACTGGTTTGAGGATTGAAATACTGTTTATTGTCCATTTTAATTGGGATGAACATCCCCACTGACTAAAATATGTTTCAGCGGGTTGAATGGTTTCAGGCCAACCAGCAAACTTTCTAGATATATTTAGATATGTTAGGCATTTGGAATTTTGCTGGGGAATATATGTGATCTATTGTGGTCTAGGTGTTGGCAACTCTGGGATGGATTCGGATGGCTCGAAAGGGGTTGGTTGCCGACAGTGTAGGCACAGATAGGCACAGGCATTTTTCCCGGTGCCTCAAGCTGCAAAGGGCATGTCTACATGACCCGGCATGCTTCGTGGGAGATCGAGGGCAAGGACCCTGAACCAACCGGCCTATCTGCATTGCCATCGACACTGAGGCAGCGCTGATGTACGGGATCCGCCTGGTGGATTTTCTATACCCGTTATTGCTCGCTACGTGGCTACCTTCTTCAATCTTCCACGGGCTACATGCTACATGCTTTGTTTCATTTCGTTTTTGTTCGCTTAGAGTCCCTCTTCGCAGCATGGCCGAAAGGCAGGGAGCAGCTTTGCCCCAGATGTTACACACACACACACCACTCTTTCGGCGTGGCACTTGTGTCACACACAGCTCTCACACATAACTTTCTGACACACACACACACAACTTTGTCACATATTGCTGACCCCGGCAATTGGTGTGGCAGGCGTGGCATTTGGTAACATTGATGCTCACTTTGTGTGGCAGGCGTGGCATTTGGTGACATGGATGCTCAAATTGTGCCAGCCGGGCTGCGCGGCAGGGCCGGTTTCAGTTACTGCTACTGGATCCAAATGGCCCAGATGGTGGAAAACGGTCCCAGAATTTAAGCTGTTCCCGACTGGTTCCCAACTGGTTCCCGATTTGCTAAAACCGGTGCAAATTTGAAGAGATTTTGGTGTCAAATTTGGAGTCTTCGGGTGTCAAAAAACCGCCATTGTTTTGGGTTGAAAACCGCCTGGATGCACAAAGCCAAGTGGCAATCTGTTCAGGTGCAAGAACCCTTTTGCCATGTCCATGGCGGCTGCAGGTATGTTCCTAGCATTGAATCCCCATGCCTTGGGACTGGTTTTGTTGACTCTTGACGTTCTTCGCCCTAAAACCCAAAATTTTGACACCAAACTCCCTGCTTAAGCCATTTTGGGCACCGCAAGGATTAGCAATCACCAGGCCCAAGCACAAATTTTATGCTGTTTGAGCCCCACATGTTCACCAAAAATCACATTTGAAGCATCAGACTTTTATTTCCGCGCGCCCCTGGCGCCATTTTCCAGCACCTTGCCGTGCACCGCCTCCCCCCACAGCCCATGTTTTAAGCCAGCTACGGGCCGGGCAATAAATATATTATATATATATATAATATAATATTATATTATATTATATTATATTATATTATATTATATATATATATATATATACACATTAATATGCATTTTGTCACAGTATAATAAGTGAAATATTAGTCTTGATGTGTGCAATACATGCAATACGCGTGCTTATCAAAATATGTTGTGTTCCCTTGACATATCGCCCATGATACAACCCCCAAAAGATAGAAAACAAGTCATTATCACATTCGTAGGGATCTAGGTACTCAATGACTTTGTATGTACCTGGCAATGTGGTGTCCTCGACTTACACGTTGGTTTGGTTTCGCCCTATTAACTAGTTGATTAGTTTGATCTATCTACCATACACCCTGTGAAATATTATAGGTACAAACCAACTTAGCTATGGGGCACCATATGTTTTCTTCCTTCCCAGAAATGACCATGATATGATGTTCCCCTCGTTCCAAAGGTGCTGGTGGCTGCAGCACAAAGCTGTGTGTCACCGGAGCAGTGACTGGGCGTTTGAAGGATGAAACATGGGTAAACATTGATTTCATGGAATTTCATGGGTCATGGGGGTTTAGTGGGTATTTAAATGAGATTTGGATGATTCAGCAAACGATAATACTGGGAATATTCCGGGATGTATTATTGGGATTATATAATGAAACTGGGGGGTGCAAGCCAGGGATTACCTTGTTGGGGATGTTCCAAGTTGATGTCTCTACACATCAATGTATCCCAGAGTAGATAAAAGATGGATTTTGAATAGTGTTAACAAGTTCGTTTTGTTTTCGAAAATTCCATTCATCAATCTACTCACATCTACTCGGATGGCAATATATATATATATGACATATATATATACATTATATATATACACATATTTTATATATATATAGATACATTATGATACATTAACATAAGATTGATATCAACCACCCACACTGGTGATATGACATACTATATGATATCAGTTGGGGACGGATATCCACCAGACTTCACCATGTCCAGTAGATATTGTAGGAACAATTACCAGATATGATTCTGTATGCCTTAGATATAGACATTTTTTGAATATGTTTATACATATATATATATATGCATATATATATATATATACAAACATACATACAGTTACATACCCTTTCAACTAGATGCTCCAACTGCATTTTATGTTTCCGTTTTTTACATTGCAGAGAACGTTCCGAAAGAGCCGTGCAATGATTTCATCTGCTGTGACCCAGCTGGACCTTCTCATAAGAGCACAGGAAAACGTTCAGCATCATGTGAAGCACAATTCCATTGAATTCAGTAAGGGAACAACTATCTTTCAAGACCTTCTAGACAAATAAATATGTCAATGCTTCATTTGTGTGGGTTATGTTCTATATATAGCGTTTAGGAATGTATGGAAAAGATGGTTTGCTTTTCAGAGTCCAAGATGTTCCGAGCAAAACATCATCACCCCACTTTGACCATTGGCCCCGGTATAGCTCCATAAGGACTTTAACATGTTAATTACACCGTCATGATCCCCATTCCGGGGAAACTCAGATCGCCTTCCATTAGCCGTTTTGCCAAGGCTGCAGGCTATCAACTCTTCAATGACTCTTCAACCAGAATCAACATTTCCCAGAAACCAAGGTGGAATATTGATTCCCTGAATATTGTTGGATGGGCTCCAAAGTTTGATATTTGCCATCTAGAATTTTTGTTGATTAAATATATTAAATAATCATTTGTGTTGGTTCACTCATCATTTTTTAGTGATCAAAAACGCCACTTCTGTTTGGTCCCTATCGAACTCCACCCGAGTCGAGGAAGCCGGTGGTGCTGCTCCAAACCGCGACGGCCAATGGTCGATCGCAAGCGGCAGGCCCTACCGGGTAGCCGGGTAGGTGCGGCTGGAGAATCCTTGAACTAAATAGAATTAAATAGAGGTGTATAGCCGGGTAAAACAATAACTGGTTGGTGGTTTGGAACCATGGAATTTTATGACTTTGCATATATTGGGAATGATAATCCCAACTGACTTATATTTTTCAGAGGGGTTGAAACCACCAACCAGATAATCAACCACCCATTTGGGAATGGTTTATACCGCTTATTTATGGTGATTTGGGGGATGGTTTATGATTGCTTGACCCACATTATTGGGTATCTAATTTTAACACATATATAAATGTATATATAGCCATATAGATTATAATCAAAATTGAAAGGTAATGTGGTAAATTGAAATAATAAACTTCGAACTGGGAATGTTTTTCTGACTGACCTGTTTCTGGTAAGTCATTGTGGATGGTTTATGGGAAAGTCTCGTCATATGGGAAATCATACTGCAGAAACATGTCAACATCACCGCATATTCGTGCATTCGCTGGAACGGGTCAAAGAAGTTATGCAAGCAAAAGCAACTGATGACTATTATTAAGATCAGTATGGCAAGTCTTTTGTCCCGCAGTTTGGACTGACTGAAAAGCTTGATTGTGGGTCCGTAGCTGCAGCCGGCAGCCAAAGGATCGGCCGGCCATCAAACTGGACAACTGTGCGTAGATGAGTTTGCATGATTCTGCGCGTGGCTCCAGTTTGGAAAAAAACTTCACATAAAAAACTTACTGGCCCCAACATGTTAAGTTTAGGATTTTGAAGTTGTGTTTACATGCTACTATATTTTGCTATCATATTTGGGTATCATGAATCATGACCTAAAATGATTTGATATATGTTTGAAATCGTAAAAAGTGATCCAAAGTGACTTCGAAGATGCTGCCATTTTCATGGATTTTGTTGTGCGTAATATTTAGCTCTAATTATATCTAACTAGCAAACACCATGATTTCACCAGCGGAAACATAGAGTTTAACCAGCAAGACTGGAAAAGTTGTACCCAAGGGTAAGCCAACATAGATGTGGAAAACCCATGGTTTGCCAATGGAAAGAGTCTACACATGGTTGATGTTCCACATCTATATTAGTTTACCCTAGGGTACCTTTTGCTATCGCATGTCTTTCGCGTGTTTGCTGTACGTCAATAGCCTCATCCCATTAGCCAACCATGACTGGTTGTCATATAAGTTGGGTCATCCCATTCCTAGCACCCAAGAGTGGTTTACTATGGTTATCCCATATAGTCGTTAATGATTAACCCACTATTATCCCATGAGTCTCCTACTATACGCCGTTGTGATTGGGTTTAAACGGTTTACCACATTGCTTTGGGTCTCTAAAGGAACCATGACATCTTCTCCTCAACATAGCTTCTGGTTTTACAGGTTGCTCCATCCTCACCTGGAGACCCTGGATTTTGCTACTTGGTGGCTCATCCCACGGATCGTGGGTGACAAAACCCCAGCTATAAATGGGATAAGAAGGGTTAATCCACTCAGAGAAATTGGGATGAGCCAGCAAGTAGACAGTAGACTTTGATTTTAACTCTATTCCGATATATCCGATGATGTGTTCTGCTTAGATCGACAGTCCCCATCCCAGACAATCCTGAATTCGTGTGGTTCAATATTTTCTGCAAGCAACAAGTTATGAGTTCCTATTTGAAAATCAATCACGTCACCTTTGGTGTTGCTTAGAACCAACTACTCCCATCTGCGAAATAAAGTAAACCCCCGTTTAAAGTTGGTTTTATACATATATATATACCTGTATCATCAAACAACCATTAAATTTTGGTCGTTTTGGTTTTCTGCCCGTTTCGGAAAATAATGGTAATTTTGCCCGGTTTGGGCCATTTCTGCGCGATCTCAACTTTTTCTGCCAGGTCTTATTTCCACACGTGGAGTCTCTTGCCACATCACATCAAATCACCCAAATTTCAGCAATTTCTGCCGGTAAAGGTGCAAACACGTCTGTATTGTTATATAAAAAGCAGGTGGTGACATGAACGTGACAACCGTGAACATCTTCCGATGTGATCTTCGTCTTGCCAACACCCCCAGCCTCAGTCACTGGGCCATGACAAAGAAAATCATCTTAAGATATCTCTAACTGAAAAGCACTTCTATACCCCCTTCTCAAACGTAGAACAGGGCCTCATGAAGAAGAATCTGATCCACTAAGTGTGTTGAAAAGCATCCCAAGAATGGCTACAGCTATGCAGTCAGCAATGAACCTATTGGTGTGTCTGCGAAAATTGACGATTTGCTGTTTTGCGGGGAGTTGCTGTCCCAAATCTGCGGCGTGAATACGTGAATCATACGTGTTTTACATGACTGCCTTAGGTGTTGTGAATAACGCCAATTAAATAGTTGTATGCCTGAAGTCCCACACGCAGACAAACACACAGCTGTCTCAGATGGTACAGATTTGCGAGACAGAATCTGAACAACACGTGTCATACAGCATTTATGCCAATTGGCATCCAATCCCTGAACAATGCACCAACTCTGCGAAGAATAAAAGAAAAAGCAGAGCGGGGGCTCAGGCCTGAAAGCGCAGGCCCCATGGATCCAGTCAAACACGTCAAGGGTCAATCAGTGCTACAAGTGCAGCTATGGTGAAAGAAAGTGAAGTTATGGGATTGGGACACCATGGAAACACATAGAAAATTAGATTTCAGCCAGATTTCAGCCATTTTGGGTCGTTTGGGTTGAATTGCCCGATCTGACCCAAAATAGGTCAATTGGCTAAAAACAGGGTCATTGACCAAAACAACATTTTTTTTCTGCCCGTTTGCTGGTCCAGGTATATATTATATTAAATCCACCTGCTTCTAGCTAAGAGCATCATTTTTGCGGACGAATAGCTACAACCGGTAGTCTGCTGCCCCACAACTCGTCGCTTTCGCGTCAGGAAGAGCTTCCTCAGTGTCTCGGCCCGACCTCGGAGAAATGAGGTCTTCACCAAGCAGAAGGAAAATTCATCAACTATCATTACTATCATATTGGGTTTCCTAAGATGGTTCTACCCCCAAATCATCCATTTCTGTTTGGGATGTTCCATGAAATAAAACATCCAACATTTTTGGGTACCAGAATTTTTGGAAACCTCCATGTAGCAACAAAATGTTTGCCATGTCTGGACAAGCAATATTGGTTGGTGGTTTCAAACATTTTTTATTTTCCATAATATATGGGATAATCCTTCCCATTGGTTTTCATATTTTTCAAAGGGGTTGAAACCACCAACCAGAATAGGATTGAATGAACAATCATGGGATTGATTTGTTGGGGACATAAACCTACAAGATTATACCCTCTGGTTATGTCTAACAGTTTGCTATGGAAAATATGGACCATAGAAATAGATGATTTAGCTATTAAAAGGCTGGTTTTCCATAGCTATGTTAGTTTACCAGAGGGTATATATATATACATATATATATATATATGTGTGTGTGATTGTGTGTGAAAATGGGGTATACACACCCTTTCTGGCCATGTTTAATCGGGAACATGATGAGCGAGCGTGGGATTTGGTGTGCCATATGTTCAGACGACCCAGATGTATCAACAAGATATGTGCCATGGTTAAAATTTCATTGCGACTATCCAGTTTTTTGGTCATCAATCCATGTTGATTTGTAAATTACATTCAAGAAAATGAATTCCCATTGGGGTGGATATGGATGGATGACCATACCACATATATAAAATCATATATTGCTGGGTATGAAGAAGTTTGGGCAGTCCAAAATCTCATAGAAAATCAGTGTTCACATTACATGTGCCAAATGGAAAATAACTGCAACAAACCTACATTGACCACATTGCTGCCATTGCTTGGGAAAGAATGTGATGGAAAAAATCGTGGGGCTTACGACGAGCAGAAACTTTCGGCACGCCCAGCAGGCCCAGCACTGATTGGTACGTGCCTGTCAATGTTTTTTTTGGGCTGTTCAAGGTGCGATTCCATGTACAACACATGTGGTTTTGTTTGTTTTTTTTTTTGTACCCCCCAATCCACTGATTAATCATTATCGTCTCTATTCAATAGTAGGTTCGGGGCCCCTTGTTCCACATCCAGTGAGATGGGTTGCCCACAAGTATGAGAACTAATTACAACCGAAAATAGCCGGAATATGGCCAACCCAGGCATTGACGTAGCATCAAAAAGGCACCTTTTTTCTTGGTCATCTCACGTCACTGTTCAGGTTGCCGCCAGTATAGGGCCACATGCAGCAGCAACGTGAGGGGGGCCCTGTCCATGAATGCAACATTACATGGGCAATGCTGCTTGGTGGTTCCAAACATCTTTGTTTCAACTAGAAAATTGGAAAAAACACATCCTTATTCGTGATGATACTTATTTAGCAGGGGTGTTGAAAACACCAACCAGGTATGGCTGCAACTTGAGATTTACGAGTCTCCACAAAGTGTGATCCGACATGATCCGACATATTTGACCAGCCGGACCAGCCATACCTGGGCTTGATGTGGATAACATGTTCGTAGAGACGGCCCGGCCATATTGTTCAAGCTTGCGCTATGAAACAAACAGTTTGTTTGGCTCATTGTTGGTGAACCTTTTTATCATGTCAAGCACCATAGGATTTGGTCCGCAACTGCAAGGGGAATTGCCTTTTTTTTACATACTTAGCTCCTAGTGCGTTGTCAAAAGCCACAAGTTTGTTTGCTCCAATCCTACTCATTCATCATCTTCTCTTGCGAACATGGTTCTGTGGTTATGTTAGTTTTACTATTGTTTTACCATGTTTTGCGCACCGTTCCATCCGTATCTAGTGGTTTCAATAAATTTCAATCATGCTGTTCACTTTCAACTGAGCAGTGTTCAAAACCGCATTTGATTGATATGTCTCTCGCCGGTTATAGTACCCTTTAGTACCCTTTACCAATCTTAATCATCCATTCAGCTACTCATTCGAATCCCGTTCAACTTCAATGACATGTCGGGTAAATCCACATAAAAATACAGTTAAAATCAGTTAAATATTCCCTGTTGGTATACTCTCACCAGATCAACTGATTTCAGCTCTTCCGACGATCCCTGGAAAAGCCACAGCTAGGTCCGCCTTAGCCTTCGCTGAGCGACTCTTTGCACCGGACCGCTGGGTGAAAAGCAGATCCGATTGACAGATAAAAAAGATGATGACAAGTATGAATCTTAGATAATCTTAGTATATATATAATAGAAAAGGTTTTAAGTAAGATAATAGAAAAAGTATTTCAATGTATTTCAGTAGTGTTGGTTGCTTGCAGTAGATTTCTTGCTGCCTCTCATTCCTTCGGATCTGACGATGAGTTGGGGGGATGACCAAGTACTCGTACCCAGATATGGTTGATAGTTTGAGTTAGCATATGTTTTCCTTCAAGAAAGGATGATAGGATCAGCCCAACTGACTGATCTTTCATTTTTTTGGCACGGGGCATTGATGATCATTGATGGCTGCATGGGGATGTCCATTGGACCGGCTTCAGCATGGCAGCATGGACCGGCTTGTTGTTCAGCGGCAATCACCATAACAATGCTGGATTAAATCAACACAAATGGTGGATAAACAAACTTTGATTGGAATGTCACCGCCTTTTACTCAGATAAGGACAAGAAATAGTTGGGATGTATGGATGTTGAACCCATACGGTCATAATAGGTGTTGGTCCATTCCCAAATAAGGCCCAAAGGCTTGACGGGTAGATGAACTTGGGAGTCTTGATCCAGGGGAAGTGCGTGTCATATTATTCCTAGAAAGTCGCTGTGTCTTTGGATGCCAGGACGCCTTGGTATTGTGAACCGTGACCAGCAAGGGTATCAAACAAAGAATCAAACAAATATCAACCATGAACCATATCATAATTCCATGTATATCTTGATAAAACGGGTGTGTCTAACAATGGAGTATATGGACTTCCCCCGGTTTTTACGGCCACCGATTCATAGCGACACCCAGCCAGGACCACTCGCTGCTACAGCAGGTAGGGAAAGGGAAGCTGCAGCATGGCGAGCTGTGGAACTGGAAACTCATTCATGTAAATGATAATAAATGGCCAATGTGTCATTTCTTTGATGTTTATACCATGCCGTGAGAATTGGAGGGTAAATTGTCCACTTGATGCTGAGATTTAGAAGCTACTTCCTTGGTTTTGGCTTGAAATTTCCAATTTTGACCCCATGTGGATGAACAGATGCTTTTGCACCCAGTATAGCCATCTTTTTTGAATGTCAGTTTGATGGTGAAGGACAACAATAATATAACTGTACCATTAAAGTGAGTTGCTCCAAATTCCGATGGCAAGGCCTGTTTCTCCAGCAAATACATTCGGTGTCAGAGTTCGGCTATTGGACTGTTCATGAACTGTTTCTCGGGCTCAAAACAATATTGCAAGAAACGATCACCTCGAATGCTTTGCTTAGTTTTACAAGGAAAAACATGTACCCAGCAAACCCTACGTTTGACCGTGCCGGAAGGCAACTGAAGTTCAGAGGGGCTGGGGGATTTGATCCCTCATGAAGATAAGTGGCAGCTCATAAACGATTCCACATATTTGTTCAGAGGGGGCGTGGGATTTGATCCCTTATGAAGAAAGTGCAAGTTAATAAACCATTCAACATATTTGTTTGGAGGGTGTGGGGGATGTGATCCCTTATGAAGAGAAGTGGAAGTTAATCAACCATTCAAAATTCCACTCAACATATTTGTTCAGAGGGGGAGGGGGATTTGATCCCTTATGAAGAAAAAGTTCCGCTAGTAGAAAGCGTCCCTGTTAAACTTATGGATTTCTCAGCCGGATATCAGGATTGTTCGAAAGCAGCAGGCTACAATCCTTACTTGTGTCGCCAGAGAGTAGCGTGTTTGGAGGGTGTAGATCATGTTTGAGGCCGGGATGTTTGAGTTAGGTAGTAGAGGAGAGGTCTTGTGGGTTATGGTCGAACGTGGGGTTTGGCGCCAACATGTAATGTTCATAAAGCAATAATAAACCAGCCATATTTTGATGTTTTTTTTTGCATCAAACATGGCAACTCATCATGGTGGATCCTATTGCTTTACCTACATGATATGTACAGCAGCGGCAGCATCAGGCCAACATTGATAGCTTGGGCAACAATGTCCTTGCGCCCGAGTCCAAGGGGAGCTATGGTGGGAATTGGTTGATTCATCCAGAAGAACTGGGTGGAGATGTGTGGAGTGTAATCATATTTAAATATACGTATATTATATACTTGTGCTATTCGTATATCTATATTTTTGTAATATTCGTATTTTTAATCTATATATGTATATAATATATATATACATACATACTATGTATATATATATATTATGCATAAATAATCTATTGCTGCAATCCCATGGGGCCTAGCCAGTCTTGCACTCGGAGAAATTCAAGGGGTCCTGGCAACTCATGTGAATTCTTGGAAGTTGCGCAGGGGTTTGCCATATCCAGGCTGACCATGATCCACTAGGCTCTTGCCCACTTTGCCACTTTGACGCAGAGTTGCGATGACCTGCCAGAGACCATCGGGCATCGGCCGGATGGGAAATTTCGGACAATCTTCACGTCATTCTGTCAAACCATGATGGCACAGTATGTGAGGCTATCGGACCTGATCTCGCGGGTGCAATTTCAAAGACACAGAATTTGCCAGGGCCGCAGGAGAGCCTCTGTGAGCCACCAGCAAAACTAGATCATGAATCTTTACATTTTTGAAAATATTACTATTATATATGTATATATATTTATACATTTATATATATATATATATATACATTGTATATATATATATACATAGATAATGTATATATATAGATTTTCTATCTATCTATCTATCTATCTATCTATCTATCTATATATACATAGATAACATATATATATATATATATATTATTTATGTGTGTGTATGATTGCAATTGTACAGTGGACATCCCATGGCAAGGGAGGGTTGGGCTCAAAGAAATCAGGTGTCGGGAAAAACATGGAAAAAAACGTCGGAAAATCATTGGACAATTGTGGAAAATCGTGCAAATCTTGGAAAATCATAGATAGATCGTTTGATGTTCAACTCCTTAGTTGTTTTTTCTAGAGATCTACGATTGATTTTGTGGGATGAACAACGACCCAGTGAAACAACAGCTATCGCCATAGACTGTTAGGATGATCAGGGCGATAGAGCACATCTAGCACCCTGCTTAAATATCTTGACGAGACTGGATCAATAGTCCTGCATTGAAAAATCCCGGACACATCATAGAAAGTTTATGATGTGACGTTGTCTCAGTGTCTTGGGAAACCACTTTTTTTGTTTTGGTTCAGACGGATGTTCCCCACGGAAATTGCCAGACATTGGGGGACTATCCCCAAAATTGACCAGATCACAGGCCGGTGATTGTCGCCGTGTGTGGTGCCTCAGTCGATCGTAGTCGATCTATCCGATGGGGTAGCCATGGACACAAACTTGCGTTTAAAAAACGAGCATTTTAGGGTGAAAACCATCCAGATTTTGGATGTTTTTGAAGGTATCACTGGAGATGTCGAAGGGGGTGGAGAAAAATAATCACCGAAAATTCATCAGATGAAGAGACGGCGGGCAAACACATTGCCAATGCACGCCAATGCCAGAGTTAATTTTTCTCATGTGACTACAGGCTTTCCCATTTCACCGCGAACGGTCTGTGAAAGAGGTTGTTGTAGCCAGGAGGGAAACGATCTTTTGATGACTCACTGCGGAGTACGCAGGTTTCACATTAAGGAACCATCTGAAAATATCCAAAATCGAGCAACAAACCAGGCTAGTAAGTTCATTTGTAGCAGCACATATATCATTACAATTGCTTTACTTCGACTTATCCCCGCCATGACATTTATACATTTTGTTACTGGCAATTATTCTGGCATTCTATCTGACATATCTTCTGGCATTTTATCTGGCATATCTTCTGGCATTCTATTTGGCATATCTTCTGGCATTCTACCTGGCATATCTTCTGCCATATGTTCTGGCATATCTTCTGGCACTCTATCTGGCATATCTTCTGGCATATCTTCTGGCATATCTTCTGACATTCTATCTGGCATTCTATCTGGCAAATCTTCTGGCATTCTATCTGGCAAACATTCTGGCACTTTATCTGGCATACCTTCTGGCATTCTATCTGGCATATCTTCTGGCATTCTATCTGGCACATCTTCTGGCATTTTATCTGGCACATCTTCTAGCGTTCTCTCTGGCATACCTTCTGGCATTCTATCTGGCATATCTTCTAACATTTTATCTGGCATATCTTCTGGCATTCTATCTGGCAGATCTCATGGCATTTTATCTGGCATATCTTCTGGCATTCTATCTGACATTCTATCTGGCATATCTTCTGGCATTCTATCTGGCCGTTGAGGTCCAGCGGTGCACACTGAGCTGGGCAGGTCCCAGGTTGAGGTCCAGCGGTGCACACTGAGCTGGGCAGGTCCCAGGTTGAGGTCCAGCGGTGCACACTGAGCTGGGCAGGTCCCAGGTTGAGGTCCAGCGGTGCACACTGAGCTGGGAAGGTCCCAGTTGAGGTCCAGCGGTGCACACTGAGCTGGGAAGGTCCCAGATTGAGGTCCAGCAGTGCACACTGGACAAACTGGAGGAGGAGGCGGAGGAGGAGGAGGAGGCGGAGGAGGAGGAGGACGAGGAGGAGGACAACAGCTCTGATAAAATCTAACAACCCTCACCTGGCAGGTGGGGAAAAAGTGACCAGAAATATCCCACAAGCACATATACACTTATATTTGCATATTAGAACTCAGCGTGAGAAAAAAAATCAGACGGCTCACCAGCAGCATCTCAGACTCTAGGTCGGCAGCACTCCTTTCTTGTGGCATCGTGGTGGGGGCCTTACAGAGCATCGCAGGGCCCCTGATGCTGTGCCCCAAACAAGAACGATTAATGTATATATATATATATACATACATGCACGTTTGTTCACGTAGTATATGATCGTTTTACATCGGATGTGTTTATTTGTTTGATAATACATACTTAGATGATATAATTTGCAAGTGTCAGTTTGCATGATATGTTGCATGCTTTGGTTGCTAGTCTGACTGGATCAGTACACACAGAATAACTGACAGACAAAGATATTTAAGTGCATCAAACAATAAAGCAAATGAATATATATATATACATATATTCTTGACAAAACATGCAATATATATATATACATCATTTATAGATGTAATATGTCATTAGTATTACCGATGCATAAATGTATATACAGATTCCATGTGCACATACACATCAGACAATAGCTACGTTACATATATATATATACACTATATCATCCGCATATATATATACACATTTATATATATATATATATACACATATTTACACGTATATTTGTATATTACATTTAAATATATATATATATATTGATAATACTGTTACATGTGTATTGGATTTGTTCGGCGTTTTTTGCATGATATATACATTTTTTACTCTAATACATTTCTTTTTATTTACACTACGATACCACTTATGTTTTATATTTGATAAAATGCAACACGATAAAGTAAAAATGTTGTATTTTTTTTGATATGAGTTGATTTAATACATGTTTTTCAACAAAATCTAACAACTTATTATGTCATATCAAATCATATCAGGTCATATTTACACATTATATTATTTCTTAAATACATTGAATATGTTCTTTACATTGCATCTGTTATATATATATATCCGATATCACATATGTAAATGCTGAAACATGTACATATAGTTATATTGCATATATATATATATATATTGTGTTATAACATATTAAAACATATAGTGTACAAATTATATGTATATTGTTTTTACAGTGTACAATTCACATATATAGAGTTTGTTTGGCGTGTGCATAATATAATGTATATATCTGTGCATCTTCTTACATACATACATACATACATACATACATCCATCCATCCATCCATCCATCCATCCATCCATCCATACATACATACATACATAGACACATATATATATATATATATCTATCTATCTATCTACGCATCATATATCACATATCACCAGCAGTACTGTGGTCAAGGATGTTCTTAAGCAGTTCTTGTGGCTTTCCATTTACAGCCATCTAGTGGAAGATATGATCGAAATTCCCAAGGTTTGCTGAACCCAAATCTTCGCATATATGGATTCGTTCAAAAAACCGGTGTATACCATCAAGATGGCAATTTTGATGGGAATTGACAATATTCCACCGAAGTTGTGAGGTAGTTCATTGTCAGTCAAACCCATACGTGGTTTACAGTGTGGGTGTGACCCAAACGATAAGGACCCTTATGTTGTTGTTTCTGTCGGTGCTGAACCAATTAGTTTTGCGAATACGATCACTTTCCTATCATGATTATTGAATCCAGTTTACCCTGTTTCTGACGTTTCTTGATTTCTCCCTCACTAAGAATTTCCCCAAAAAATTTGGACGACTTCTATCGCTGCGTGCCTGGCAGGTGTGCTTGATCACCTACCAGCCAAAGCCAGAATATTCACAAGAAGAGCGCCATCCTCAGAGCCGAAGGATCTCAACAGCTCACATGCGCGGTTACACATATGGAATTTCCATACATGGGGGTACCCAAAAATTGGTGGTTTATAAGGGAAATTCCCATTAAAATTGATGATTGGGGGGTTCCCCTATTTCAGGAAACCTTCATATGGGTGTGTTGTTTCGACTGCGATATACTCCCAACAAATGGCAAGTCATTTAGAAAGACCCATGACAAACCAGTGGATGGAATGGACGCTTCAGTCACCAACTGCCAACCACGCAAAACTCCCGTGCTGTGTCGTTTCTTTGTGGTGGCTTCAGGGAGACAGCGCTACGGTCCAACATTGATGCGCACAATAGGCATGTGCGTGAAAAGTATCTTGGCCGTCAAGTTGGGTGATTAGCCCATATGAAAAATGGCTATTGATGGCTATTAGCCCTTTTTTCCCATCTTGGCTTAATCTTAATCCCAATTTATGGTTTTGGATTAAGCCCTCGCCTAGCAGATTTTGTTTAGCCCAGGAATCAGTGGATCCTCCAAGGATGATGATGGCCTGAAGGTTTGGGTTGTACCGTTGTACCTGTGCTGTACTTGTAATGTTTAACTTGTTTAACCGCCGTATATGTACGGATTGAAGTAAGCTAAACTCTCATTTATCACCAAATAAATCCAAATAACATAACTATGCTACACAATTTCCATATGATGCTGTTTGGTGATAATAATCAATATAGAATCAGTATATGTTCATGTAAAGAATGGTTTAGAGCATAATATTACCATTTTCAAAAAACATGTTTTGCCATGTACCTCCGGAATCATCGAAGGAATTGATCCATCCATCATACCGATGGTAAGCATACAAATTCTTGCACCACTAAGGCAAGCATGTGCGTGCTAGAAGCAAACAAAAGATGTATGTATAATTATAAGCAAATGTGTATATATCTATATATATATGATTTATTATGATTATGAATATGCGTAAATTGTTTCCTTTCACCACAATTACAGATTAATCAAACATCATTTACAAAAATTTAAAGTATTGGGTAATCGCCCCAAGTCGTATCAGGCGCACAAATGTTGTATTAATCGCAGGGTGGCCTATCGTGAGAGGTGATTCAGTGTGCTATCAGTTTATCAAGTGCAAATTTGGCCGTGGCCGTTGGAAAATGGACATGTTCCCCATGGCAAAATTTGGATCCATTCCTTTCTTCTTAATTGGATTTCCGTTGCACAATATATGTCTGGTTCTCCGGAATTTGAATAAAGAACCGTATCCACATGTATCCACTCTTAACCTCATCCTTCCTCTTACATGCGCTAGGAATTTATTTTCCTACTAACAGTGCAACTGGATTTCAGGAGACCATGGAGATTTGAAAAGCATTAAGCATGACATTGCGCTGCTACTGCTGCTGCTGCCGGGTAGGCATAGGCATCAACATCAATATGCCGATATGAAGCAGAAATACACTGCCAACAATATCGGTTTTGAACCATTAATTCTTGAAACCATCGGTGGTGTGATTGGTGAAACAGCAAGGCTCTTGCAATTATTATGCTGTATTGTTGATTTATTGGAAGGTTGTCCTATTGATTTACATGGGAAGATTTCTAGATTCGGATTTCTATTGATTTGTATCGAGCATTCTATGGTACCTGTTAGAAACAATGGACCAGGAAACTATAGGATAATGATCTCGGGTAGAGTACCGAATCCGAGGAATTTCTGATAATTAATTTCTATTTTTTTAGTCTTGATTTTTATTATCTTTGGAAATATTTTAATTTTATTTTGTGGTATTATAACTTTCGGTGCCGTGCAGGGCTTTTTCCTCGTGCTGTGCTGCGAACTATTGCGCGGGCTAATGTTCCTGAACGGTTTGTTTTATTTTCTTTTTTTAATATGAGATTTATAATATTTTTTTTTGAGGAATTGGGAAATAATTAATTTGCGGATAAATGTTTCGTTATAGCTTTGTTTTGGGGCTAGGATTGAGCTCGCATTACGAAATAATGATGGATTATAGACGGATTTGAAAATTATTCGTAATTATCTTATTTTTTTTTATTATTTATAATTTTATGTTTTTTTTTTTATTTTATTTTTAATAATTTTATTTAAAATTAAATTATAATAAATATTAATTGTATAATTTAATTTTAATTTATTTAATAATTTATTAAAATTATAATGAATTTATAAATAATATATATTTATTATTATTTTTTATTAGTATAATATGTTAATAATTTTAACCATTTTTATTTTTAAAAGGATAAATATATATTTAATATTTGATATTATTTTTTATTTTGTAAAAAAATATGTAAAAAAATTGGAATTATATATTAATTTTTGTAATAAAAAAACATATATTGTATTTTGTAGTGGTATTTTATTTAATATTTGAAAATTGGAAATATATTTTATATTGAT